TTCACTGACCTTGTGTGACCAGTGGGTTTTGTGGTGAACCTCTAATTGAGTGGTGCTCTTGTGCAGTGGAAGGTGTGTGTACAGTGGCCAATTGTGTTGGTCGAGAGTTGGCTCCTCATGTGAAAAAACATGGAGGCAAACTGATTCCTGAGTCCATGAAGAAGGATAAAGACGGGCGCTCTAACATGGATGGAGCAATGGTGGTGGCCGCCAGTGGAGTGCAAGGTAATCAAACTACACTTCTGTTACCTCTCAGGAGTCTAGAAAAGTATTGATTGCCTTTTAACTTGTTCGCAGATATTGCTGTGTAACATTTCAACAAACCTTATTGTCATTGTATTTTTTACTATAGGGAAATGCAATATGACGACACTATTGTAAGGTAGAAGGAAAAGATGCATCATTTTTAAAGCTTTATGTTTTGCTAATGATTAGTGCCTCATCTAAAGATTACTATAGTAATTGTAAATGCATCATGCACTATTTTCTGTTTGACACAAAATCACAGTAAATGTACTGATGTTTGTGGTTGTCGGGTGACAAAAGTCAGTTAGTAATAGGTTTTCCAGGGAGTGTTAGCAGGTGAAAGTGTGATTGCGGAATTGTGGCTCCTTTGTTTCTGTTCAATTTTGAATTTTGAACATTTGAAGGTAAAGACTTGCTGAGTCTTACAAAAAGATGCAATCGGCTCCATCTTTTTGTACCAAATAGTTCTATAGCATTACGAAGCCAGATTCAGGCTATTTATTTGGATTCAACCACTACAAAGGTTTGTTTTTGCTTGACTCATTAAAAAAAGCAAGAAATGTCATTAAGAAAGATTTTTTTTTTCTTGTTACTAGGATTTGCAACTGTTTGGAATGGTTTGGAAGCAGCTGCTAAGGACATCACCACAAATGTTGCAGCAGAAACGGTCACCACCATAAAACATAAGTATGTTTTTGTGAAAAGGATTTTCTCCACCTTTCTCTTAGTTTACTAGACTTTTTTTTTTCCTTTGTATGTTGCAAATGACCTCTTGCACAAGAGAAGCTAAATCAAACGCTCACTTGTATTCCTCCTCAATTTGCTTTGCAGATATAGAGCTCTACCAAACGTCTTTGATACATCTCATGAGAAGAACAGTCATTCTTTCTAACAATACACAGTTCTTTAACTTGTTCCAACACTAATTAAACATAGTTTCCCCTTTTCCCCATTTTTTCCCCACAATTCACTTTGTAGTCCTGTTCAGCACTGATTCACTTTACTTCCCTTCCAGTTGTGCTAATTCATTTCAGTATGCTTTACCCATTGATTTCTGGTTGACATCTTTCTGTTCTCTATCAATTGAAATTGGGTGTTGTACAAATTAATTATAATAACCATTTCAAAGTTCTGTTGTAAATTATGAATAGACACCATCCAATACTGGAGTTTTGCTACATCTTTCTACTTTGAATAATTTTGGTTGTGTTAAATTATTCTAAGATTCATTAAGCAAGGTGAGAATTTAAAGAGCTCTCGCATTAATTTAAGTATTTGCCTAATTTCTTTCAGCTGCAGAAAACGTCCGCTAATAAAAATCATTTTTGGTTTGTGAACTTGCATGGGTGTAATTGTAAAGTGGAACTTCTGCATGACATCTTTGCAGTCCTTGCACTGCATACTAATTAATTCTCTTATCTCTGACCTCTCACCCAATTTGACTCTGCTGCCAACTCGGAAGGTACGGCACAGCGGCGGGACAAGCCACGGACAATGCTGTCAATTCTGCCATTAATGTTGGTATTACTGCCTTCAATATTGACAACCTGGGGATCAAAGCTGTGGTTAAAAGAACTGGAAAGCAAACGGCACAGGCTATTTTGGAAGACTACAAGCTTCAGGAAAAACCACAAAATGGAAAGGAAGTGGAGAAACTCACCAAATAGCTGTTGATATTCTGCCTCATTTTCTCAAGAATGCCTTAAAATTTATTCACTAATCAGAAAGATCTATATTTAATACTCATTATTTATAAGAACATGCTCTATATTTGCTAGGTAGCTACTGTGATTTGCATACTCCACACATTGGTTTAGCTCTCAAGCACTTTAAATATACAGCAGCTGGATCAACATCCAGAAAGTGGAAACCAAAACTTGAAGCACATTGATATGCTCTCCATATTTAAATTAAGGATAATATTTTACAAATAGGATAAATATTTAAAAACCTCAAATATTTTTGTGTTACCAGATTAAATTAGTCTAGAAACAAATGTATTGCTTAATTTTTTCACATATAATGGTTTTGTCTGTGTTTATCTCTTAGTGTGCTTCTAAAAGAATATCAAGTCTAACATGCTGGATAAATTGAAACTTTAAAGTTTCTGTTTTCATTTGTCTTTAATCATCCTTAAAGAAGATTCCTACATTCCACTAAGGTGATTAAAATATTACCTAACCTGATGCTATGAAGTGTAATTAGAAATTCAGATATTTGTATTAACCTACAAGCTGTAATACTGCCTTTTGTTGTGCAATTTTACTGAATTGTCTTGGAAATGTTACTTTAAATGATGATGTTTCTTCTGTGAGTAACGAGTAATAAATTGGAAATTAATGTGTGAGCCTAACTTTGTATCAAACCAATTTTTCCCAATTTTGTGAAACTGTGTCAGACTGTCTCCTTTTATGCTTTAGGCTGCCAGATGATGATAAAAATCTTTAGATCAGTAATGGCACTCATATTTTTCACCTGAAAAACTTCAGTAAAATATTTTGACAAATGAAAAGTATATTTCTACTTACTATTTATTAGTCATTACCAATCACCTTTGCCTCAGAATGTTAATAAATACTTACCATTTCAGGTGCTGCATATTAGCCCAACTCAGAATATGCAGACTCTTCATGATTTTCATCAAGAAAGCACAAGCTGCCACTGTTATCCATATACAAGTCTCACATCAAACTAACTGACAGCATCATGGGCAAATGGCTTGCAAGTTACTACTGAGTGTGGATTAATTGTGTCACCAGGAATCAGATCACCTAAACATAGAAGTGAAGTTTGATTTTCAGACACAGGAATTAATTTTTGGTTTGCCAAATTCTCCATTTCTCTCCTTGCATGTTGACCAATGGAGGTGTGATTCACTATGGTTTAAACAACAGTTACCAAGGCACAGTTTAATTCTTGTGATAATTGATGAGGATCAATTTGGTTAGAAATCACTTCACAAGGCATTTGGCTCAAAGATGAGACTGCCACCATTGCTGGTACCACATGACTAAAAGTTGACCCTCTAAAAGAACTTGAAGTGCTGAGATGCAGATGGTTTGTTTAGGAAATGCTCTTCCATGATTTGAAACGAGGCTGACGGAAATTGATCTTGGCGCACTGGTGACATTTGTCCCCGTGGAACACTCGATTTGCCCAGCAGTATTGGTCGGGCATGCACTGGGTTGAGACCACCAGCTTGAACCAAAGTTAATGGCATGTACAAAAACACTTCTTCTGGACTAATGAATCTAGTTTAATAAACCAAAAAATATGTTGCTTGGTCTTGTTTTTTTAAGAAGTGTAACACTCATTCATCTATAGATTTTTACATTGGTCAACATTTTGTGAGTATTTGTCATGTCAACATAGTCAACTATCTTCTTCCTCATTAATGTAGTCTTCCACAGCAGAACCTCAGTGCAGCTAATACTGCAATTTACATGAGACAGATAATTAAGACAGTAAGCACTAGCTGGCTTTTGCCTGACAAAAATCTGAAATAAATAATCACTCCAGCACAAGATTACAATGATGACACAAATAGTGTTGCTTAATTTTGTTTTAGAAACCAGGAAGGGTTAAACTTTTTGAACTGTAATAAAAATCTCAGAACCTTAATAGATGGTTTGTGCTTAAGTGTTGTAACCCCTAAACATTTCTGCAGAAACAGAAATTAATCCAAACATCCTTTCCAGGTGTATCTGAAAGAAAGTCTGCTTCTTAAATAAAATTAGAAGAGACTCATGACCTAAACTCTTGGTTGCGTACACAAGCACTTCTCTGAAGACAGCTGCTGCTATAACAGCACAATGCAAGAATCAACAGGCAAATTGCCTTTCTCTATTATTAGTGCTGTTTAAGCTCAACAATTATAATTTCTGAATATCATAAAGTTCATGAGTCAGTTTAGCCTGCTATACAAAAAATAACATTAAAGAGAGAGAGATGATATCAATGTTTAAAGAAACAATCTTTTTTTTTTTTGTTTTGTCTTTGCTTTTGCTAGTTAATAACATTTAGATGTTTAGCCTGATCAGCAGTTTGCTTTCTTCAAGATTATACGGATTTATCAAGACTTTTGAACTAAAGCCAAGTCCTAATGTTCGTCTTGGCATGGATAAGCAAACACAATATCACTAATAAAAGTCTTCACCCTTTTGAAAAGGTTAATTAAAAAAAAAAGTCCAAGTTAGCCTTGAGAAGATGGTTCACAAAAGTGATTTGTAAGGGGCGCTGAGTTTATGACATGCGCCTCAAATGGAAAGGATTTCAAACCTCGTCTCCAAATCTGAAGTGTTACAGAGGAAGTGTTGTGACTTAATGATAACAATCGTTAAATGATAACAATCGTTAAATCGAGATAAATTGATTATGAAATTATCAGACCCAACAAAAAATTGCGGGAAACACAAAATTTGGAAATCGGGTACACTATGAGCCTTTAGGGTAAATGGCCTGTATTGTATTTCGCTTATGCTTCAACCAGCGTACCCCAAAAACGCTTCCTGCTACTGTCATCATGACAGATCTTATATGTACCAATTCACAGTGTTAAGAAAAATGGAGGAACGACTTACTATCGTATCTACTCAATGTTACTATGTTTTATTCTATTTTATTCTACTGTGTGGCTTACGTGACCGCGCATCCTGCGTTTGCGCGCTCCGTCATAAACGTGCGCGCGAGCCATGCCGACAGCACGCTCTCTCTTGCAGCGGTCTGCTAAATCACCGCAATGGAATAAGAGCAGGGAGGGTAGAGGACACCGGCTGCCCTGCCTCCAGTCTGCATGTGAGCACACACAGCAGGACGGCTAAGGACAGTGACAGGGCAACAAAGGGACGCATGCTTCCTCCAAGGCATCACATAAATAAGAATATTTAAGACTTCCGCACAGAAGCTTTCTGCCTACCTCTATCCTCACCTTCAAGGTAAGAGACAGCAAGGCAATTAGAATTTTTTTCAACCGTTTATTTGCTATTCACGTTTAGTTTACTATAATTTTTCTTCATAAAAATCATTTGGGTAGTCATGTCCTTTTAATAATTGTCTAAAATATATATTCCATTTCACACTGTTTAAATTATGAGATGCCAGGGAGCATTAGATGGGTGTGACATGCTTCTTTATCTGTTTACTAGGAACAGCTGCAGCATTAGAGCTTGCACAAATCCGAAAGACAGTATGGCCTGTCACAAAACGTGGTTCTGATGTGGTGGGGTTCACTCAGTTTCAGATAAAGAATTTTTTTGGTTAAGATTTTTTTGTTTTGTTTATTATTTTAGGGTGTAATTCAGCAGTCATGGACCTGGAGCATTTTGATGAGCGGGACAAGTCTCAGAGATACACCCGAAGGGGCTCCAAAGGGAATGGTCTCCCTAGCCCAACTCATAGTGCTCACTGCAGCCTTTACAGAACCAGGACACTGCAAGCACTGAGCTCAGAAAAGAAGGCCAAGAAGATTCGTTTCTACCGCAACGGTGACCGCTACTTTAAAGGGATTGTGTATGCAATTTCTCAGGAGAGGTTTAGATCTCTAGATGCTCTCCTCGCAGATCTCACAAGGTCTCTCTCTGATAATGTCAACTTGCCCCAAGGAGTAAGGACCATATATACTGTTGATGGAGCAACCAAGATTACCAGCATAGAACAGCTGGTGGAAGGTAAATGTGTGCCCTTTTGTTGTCATTTTGTTTATAAAATGTAATTTATATTGAATCATAGGCAAATTATGTCGACTGTCTGAAGTGCAAATATTATAGTCAAACCAAGTTAGTCTGTCACTCAGCTCCTTTGAGTTTTTAAAAAGAATGTGCTTATATTCTGTTCTTTATTCAATCAAGCTCACATTATAGCTCTTCATTTCATACTTGTATATTAGCTTTTCTATTCCTATTTTCTCCAGGAGAAAGCTATGTTTGTGCATCCATAGAGCCTTTCAAGAAACTAGACTATACAAAGAATGTAAATCCCAACTGGGCCGTTGGTGCCAGGACTGCAGCTTCGATCCGCGATCCTTCTTCCCTCGGCAGCGCCATGGCTGGATCCCCAGAAACCAGGGAGACCAAAGACTTCATAAAGCCCAAACTGGTGACGATTGTCCGCAGTGGAGTGAAACCTCGCAAGGCTGTTCGGGTCTTGCTCAACAAAAAGACAGCACACTCCTTTGATCAAGTCATGAGTGACATCACAGACGCCATCAAGCTGGACTCTGGGGTCGTTAAAAGGTTATATACTGTTGATGGCAAAATGGTAAGTGTTAAAATTCTCTCCAAAACTGTAAAACTCAATATTTGGAAACTGGATAATGTATATAATATATCTTTAATGTCATGAAAGCTTAGGAACCCTTAGGCATCAAAGGAGTCTTTTTTTTTCTTGTTTCCGAAAAAAAATTTTCAATTATGATGGGCTTTGTTTGTTCTCCGTTTTAGTACTCTCCCGTCTGCAGCGGACATTTAAATATTTATGTTACTATTGCCTTCAAGATTGTAAAATGTCATTCAGCAATATTAGTCTGTCATTTCAAGTTCAATAGGTTGCACATTGACCCTTCCAGTCACTGGATTCAATCATCCATGAAACTTCAGTTTTGATGATCAACATTAATAGGATTATCAAAAACGTAAATTTTATAAAACTTTATCAATATTATTATATTGATAAATTATAATAATACTTTATCAAATATAAAGTAAGTATGTTAGTCCTGGATGTTTTGCAATTAAAGTCGCATAAGAAAGTCCAACAACTAAGTGCTCTGTATTGTAGAGTACTCTTATGTTATGCTTTTTTTCCTCTACCTTCTAAAAGATTAATTGCTTGAATGGGAGTAAATGGCCTTTGTGCATTAGTTAGCTCTGCTTTTAGTTTTACCAAGCAATGATCTATTGGAAATTGACATTTACAATACTTGGATGATGTGGGGATCAGCTTGATCCACTCTGATTTTCTAAATTGAGCAGTGTACCAAAGCTTGGCACAGCTTCGGAACACTGCTGTACTGAAAGTGTTTTTTTTTTTTTTTTTCCCGTCATCCCTCCTGAAGTTTCTTTCTTACTCAAAGAGGGAGCACAGTACGTTAAAAATCACCTGGGAATTATTGCTAAATGGGTTTCTAGGACTCCATCCCATATTCCTACAACAACAGAACAGTTAGATGGAGCCGTGCGATCTGATTTCAGATCAGTCTCCGAAATATTAAAGTACCGCATTTCCAGAAAAGTACATTTTGCACAATAGTTACTAGCATGCACTTTCATTGATTGATTAGCCAGCCACAGTATACCCAAATACTACTTTTAAAAGCTCTTGAAATTATGATATTCGAGGAGATTGCGTGTATTTAAGGGAAAGGAATGTGACTACTAAAAAAAAGGCTTCATTAAGCGTCCCATAAAAATAACTTCTTTAAAATTCACTTCAAAAACTGTCCTGTGTGCTTTCTGTTGGTGTTTAGCTGTAACACTCGAGTGAATTGCTAAGTGACAGTCTCTGCAGCAGAGTAGTGAGTTAGTGGTGGGATTTATCTGTGTTTTATTTTCTGTCTGCTGTTTTGTGCATATGGTAGCATGACTGTCTGTTATTAATGTACTTCATTTTTGTTTTGTAATGCCATAGAACACACTTCGGGGCACATCTTTTTAAAGTCAGGAGTGTCCTAAACCATTGAACTTTATTGTTGCCATGAACTTGAATGTCCCCGACATACACTAGTTCAATCTTTTGGAAACTGCAATCACAGCAACTCAAAGCGTTTATCATCTAAATGTGATGAAGACTCATTTCAGAAGTTCAAATGGAGCAGTTGGGTAACTAGATTTTAAATGTGGATTGGTTGTTTATGCCAGATTGGCTTATCTGAGCATTTAAAAACTGCTGAGCTATTGGCTTTTAACACATGACCATCTCTCATGATGGTCAGTCAAGAGGGACTGACTGTAAATAGAGAAGATATCTAGTGAGCAATAGTTGTGTGCTCACTGGATGTTAGTGGCCAGAGGAAACTGACAGAATTTTGTAAATTTTTTTCACACAAAATTAAAATGTGGTTTAAATAAGCCAATCTGTTGCACAAAATGGAACGAATGATCGCTACTTTCAGTAAGATGAAGCATCATGTCATAAAGCTCAAATCATCTCAAACTGGTCTCCCTGTCATGAAAGGGCGGTAAGTGACCTTACAGTCAGTCGATTTTAAACAGGTTACCTGTAGGTAGGAACAGCAGATTTTCATTATGGATATACAGACAACTTCCACTCATTTTCAAGAAGGATGTTTCCGTTTTTTTTTTTTTTTTTCTCAAACTATGCCATGAAGGAAAAAAGGCAGTTCTGAAGGCAATAAGGATTCTAACCAGGTATGAGCAGGGTCATTTGCAAGAATCATCTTCCTTAGTCCCAAAAAAACTACCAACTTGTACACAATTATGATTCTTTAAGATTTGTTTTAGTAAGTTTGATCTCTGCCATTCTTTGCTCTTTATTCAGTGCTTTGTGTTGTGCCAACAGATGGCCAGATGACCACCTGCTGTCATCAAAGGGAGAGTTTTGATGACATGCTTTGTTTAACCTTTATTAAACAAATAGGTTATACTTTTGATGCATACTGGATGTTTATAAGATTTATGAAATATGTTATGGAGAATTTAGTTCATCCTTTATAGTTTATATTTACACGGATGAGCTCTTTTAAAAACAGTTTTCCGAAGTGTATCAACTGAAAATCATTTTGTTTTAAAGACTAAAACGGACAACAGAAAGATGGTAACATTTCAAAGAGCAGAACTGACAAAGGGTGTGTATGTGGGTTACAAACTCAGAAGGGTGACTTTTTTATGAATAGAAGCATCTATTGGTCACATGTCACCAAAAATTTCTAGTCAGACTTGTCAGAAATTAGGGTGCAGCAAATTGTACATAATAGTGACTCTTGTGAAGTGCAGCTAGATTGATTGAGAAGTCATGCAAAAAACAGAAAAATCATGCATTTATGTTTTTTAGTGGGTTACTGTGACATTCCAGAATGGAGATACACATTTCAAAGCTCTTCAGTCATCAGCCATTTCTCTGCTTTCACCTTAAGAACAATATTGTTTTGACATTATCAGGTAAGGACGACATTTTTTTTCAAAGGATCCCTGCCAGTAAAGGGTAATTACTGCATTTAAATATGCAGTATATCACCCAGAAGTGGGACCAAATAAGTTTTTGTTCGTCAAAAATCTTCCTGCTCAAATCCAAAGGTAGGTTTGCAAGTTCTGAGTTGAGTGTGAGTTGAGCCAAAAAGCCATTTGACCAATTTAAATTGAGCAGTTAGTAGTTTTGAAATGTCAAAAACTAAAATCAATTTAAATGAAAACAATATCTATGGAAAGTAGGGTACTTTCTTTGAAGAGTAGTTTGTAAGAGTCCTGTTTTAAATCTCTTTGACAGGTTACATGTCTTCAGGACTTTTTTGCAGAAGATGACATTTTCATTGCTTGTGGTCCTGAAAAGTTTCGCTATCAAGATGATTTCAATTTGGATGAAAACGGTAAGTATGTCTATAAGGATTTGAGTGGGCTAAAAGTGACATCATCTTTCAGTTCATAAAAATGCTTAAGTATCTTTATTTGTGTCCTCTATAAATGCTTGGTAAGCGAAAGTTTTTGTTTGTTTTTTTTCTCCCCATCTTCCAGATAATTCTTAAATGTCTCTTATTTAGCATTGTAATATTGTGTTCCCTCTTTTCACATCAAATCATCTTACACTAACTTGTACTTAACAGTTTTTCACTGCATTGTAGATTGCTTTATATTAAGTTATGTTGTGGGAAAGTATGTTAACCTTTGCACAGTATAGTTGCTGCTTATACAGAGCTCAGAGGTAATTTAATCTGGTCTGAGGAGATGGGTGTGCTGGAAAAATGCCAAGCTCTGTATGCAGGTGATATTTTCACTGACTGATCTAGTTCTATACTTGGAATGAGGTGTGTGTGTCTGCAGGCAATACTTTTTTTCCCCTCCATTTTTGGCCTAGTTTTGTGCTGAATCTTTTTGTTTAGATTCCACCTTAAGTCTCAGAACAATTGCTTATTCTAAATAGAATCTTTATCACCTTGCAGGGTAAAATACATTTCATGCTTTAAATGCATTTTTCCTCACCAGAATGCAGGGTGACGAAGTCATCGTCATATGGCCGACTCCCCACAGTTCATGGTGGTTCTTTGTCGAGAACTGGTGGAATGTCTCGTAGAAGCAAGTCTCCCTCACCTGCCCGATCTGGTAAATGTGTGTTCGAGTTTAACAATTAAAACTTGAACTTGCCATGTTTTGGTTCCTTATCAGTTTTTTTATTTTTTTATTTATTTATTTTTTGCCGTCTTAACAGCAAATGGCACTGCTGGAAGTACGCTTTCTACACCTCGTTCTGGAAAATCTCCAAGTCCCATTTTAACGAGTCCTTCTAGCCTCCGAAGACGTCAGGTAAGAAGACAAAGTTTGTAGAATAGAGAACTATTTCTGTGCTGCCATTGAATATTTACTTTTTCTTGTCTTGAGCTTATGTTGTGTCCATAGCCAAATGATTTCTACACAATTTGACTGTACCATATTTCATGCTTTGAAAGGGCTCTTTTGGCTCAGACAATCAGGTTTCTGATGTACTACAAGACTGTTGCACTTTGCTGTTTGTCATTGCTACATGTAGGATAGCATACAAACCGCATCCAGAGATGCTCATTTGTCTGAAATGGGCATTTCATAGTTACTGTATATTGTACTTTTATCGGTACTAATAAACATTAGTTTGCTTTAGACACTAATATATTTGGGATAAATTAATTATATTACAGCGGTAAGGTTTTGTGTACACCCATAAATGTTTCAAAATGTTGTGAATTAAGAAAGCGAATATAATAGGATGTATGTAATTAAATAAAAATGTTTGTTTATGGATGTTTTTTTTAGCGCTCACATGCCAGCCTCTTACTAAAATTTCATAATTTTTTTTGTTTTGTTTTCATGTCATTGTTTTGCAAGAATCACATATGCCTGCAAATTTTCAACATTGTTCAAATTACAATTATATTGCAAAGGGATGCTTGGGTGTAACTATTACATATAATAAGAGGTACAATTTTTTTATGCTTTGCGTATTTGTGTGTAACTTCATTTGAATATAATCTAAATTCTGTAAATTACAATTTTATTTATAGTATTGTAGTTAATATTTTCCTGAAATTGTTCCCTATTGCTTTTATCAGTTCTCTGTATTGGGGTCTTGTGTATCAATTCTTCATCACGTTTTTGTCTTTTCTTTGTTTGGACTAGGGATCCCAGTACAGTGGCTCTTCACTTTCATTAGCCTCTACCAAGGTATGCAGCTCAATGGATGAAGGAGATGGTCCCAACGGTGAAGGTGGGGTATTGACATAAAAATAAACTACACGAGTCATTATGCCATACGTTTCAGAAATTATAGAAATGTTTTCTCACTCAGTTGAGCCAGTGGATGAATGTTCCCCAGTTCCTACCTCCATAACAGACAGATACAAAGTTGGAAGGATTTTAGGGGATGGAAACTTTGCTGTGGTTCGTGAATGTGTGGAAAGATCAACTGGAAGAGAGTATGCTTTAAAAATAATCAGCAAAGACAAATGTAAGGGAAAGGTAGGCATTCTGATTCTTCTAGAATCACATCGAATCACAAAATTTGTGCTAATTTGTCGTTCTTTAGTATTCCATTTTAGTGTGTATGTGTGTTTGGGGCACAGGGATTAAACATCTTTGTGAAATTGATGTTTTACATACTGAACTATTCTTAAATTCTGTACTTTCTTTTTCTGCATCATTCAGGAACACATGATACAGAGTGAAGTGTCCATTCTGAGGCGTGTGAAACATCCAAACATTGTCCTCTTAATCGAGGAAATGGACACCCGCAGAGATCTCTATCTTGTAATGGAACTGGTGAAGGTACTTTGCATTTTTAAATAGATTATAGGTGAATAGGTTCAAAGCTACTTTCCCAAAAAGTTATATTGATACGTGTAATGTTTAGAATATAATTTATTTCTTTAATTAAATTTATGTAATCATGCAGTAATTATTTACATTTTGAAAATCTTCTATCCAGGGAGGAGATCTCTTTGACGCCATTACCTCCTCCAACAGATACACAGAGCGGGATGCCAGTTGTATGCTGTTCAACTTGGCAAGCGCCATAAAGTACCTCCACAGTCTCAATATTGTGCACAGAGACATAAAACCAGAAAATCTCTTGGTAAGTGGTACTTAATAAAGCCTGAGGAAAGAGCATTTATAAAAACCTAATCCTGCTGTGAGAATGTGTCAGTGACTGTCTTGCTGGACAGCAGTCAAGTCAGCGTTATTCCACATGGATGTGTAAGCTAAAATGTAAAAATTGTATATTAAAAATATTTTTTAATTGGTTTTATGTAGTACTTTCTAAGAAAGAAATTTGGGGTTTTTCAAAAAAATGGTCTCGAGACCAAGACTGGTCTCGAGTACTACAGCATTGCATATTCACTTGTATTTTCTCACAACTGGTATACGGCTTTATTATGGCAATACAAAATTAAGTATAAATATTATTAAACATGCTTGGAAGCAGTATCTTTTTGTTTTACTTCAATTCCTCACCAAGTAGGGGCTTTGCTTATCGTTTCTGTCCATTCTTGTCACACAGGTGTATGAACATCAAGATGGTAGTAAATCTCTGAAACTGGGAGACTTTGGCTTGGCTACTGTTGTCAATGGTCCTCTTTATGCTGTTTGTGGAACACCTACTTATGTAGCACCAGAGATTGTTGCTGAAACAGGGTAAGGTTGAATGTGACTTGTGGGCCAAAAACTACTGTAATATGTATGTTTCTAATCAATCCTTTTCACTGATGTTTCATTTTGTGACTTCAGATATGGCCTCAAGGTTGATATCTGGGCAGCAGGCGTCATCACTTACATACTGGTCTGTGGTTTTCCTCCTTTTCGTGGGTATGTGCTTTATTATTATTATTATTACATTAAGTAAAAATAACCGGTATTTGGCATATACTTTTTCAGTTATGAAATTATTTTTTTTAATTGTGCATTTTATTCTTGCAGCAGTGGAGAAGACCAGGAGGCCCTCTTTGAAGAGATTATAAAAGGCCATCTTGAATTTCCAGCACCATACTGGGACAACGTATCTGAGCCTGCCAAGGTTGCCTGGAAGTTGACTTTTACCATGAATATGCTTCACAATCTGTCAGACCAGATTTTCTCATTATGTTCCAAGATATTTATGAGTAACACATTTATCTCTAGGCTCTGATCACTGGCATGCTGCAGGTAGTTGTGGATCAAAGATACACAGCTGGACAAGTGCTGGATCATCCCTGGGTCAATGTAAGTTCAGTAAATCACTGCAAACATATACAGCAAAAGAGCTGAAGAAGAATGTATTACTGAAACATAAGCTATGTCGCTAAGCAATGTCTGTATTTTTCAGGGTGACAGTCTGTCAGAAAAGGGGCACCAGCTTGCTGTGGCTGGAAAAATCAAGAAGCATTTTAATTATGGACCCAAGCTCAATGGCACTGCAGCAGGAGTGTCAGTAATTACAGTAAGAACTAATTAGAAACTTGATGGAAAGTTTGCTTGTAATTTTGTTTTCGGTGAGGCTGATTTTTTTTTTTTTTTTGCTAATTTTTATTTTGTATTTATTTATTTTTTGCTGCCTTGCTTTTCATGCTCTATCATTCAAAACGGAAACATGAGAATTCAACGTAGTCCAAAAGTAGTCCTCTCTGTGCAATTACATTTTTAGCAAAAATCTTATTTATTATTTGAAAATAAAAATAAAATATAACCTTTTACAGACATTGCCTTTAGGAGACCTCAGCCTGTTGGTGAAAATACTTTTTTTAATTTTTTTATTTAATACTGTGTATATAAATAAATTCCCATTTCACTTTATTGGATTTCTTATAGTTATAACATTTATATTTTGCGTCATCAAAGTGTTTTTTTCAGTTGAAAATGAAAAATTGCATCGCTAACAGCCTTTGGCTAAATATTTGTTCATAAATTCCATTTAAAAAAAAAAAAAATCCCCCCAACTCAAAGGTAAATGTAGTCTTAAAATGTATAACCCACCCTACTAGTTTAAGTCTTATGAGCTCTATGGTATGTTTTTATTTTTGGATTACGGATCTTCTGACTATATCGTTCTTACCTTCATGCACTTTAAATTTGAATTAAAGAGTCAATTGACGATTGTGGCATTTCTAATCTGTAGCCAACTTGTTTCTCCTCTACCACAGCAGCTCTACAAGATTCATGCTCTACAGCCAGACCACTCTCATTTTCTCAGCATTATTTGAGATTAGCTTCCATCCAAGTCATGCTGCCATGTGTTTTTCTTTTTTGTTTTTACCTCACTCTGCCATCCTATCTAGCTGGACTGTCAGCACTGTTGCTTGGACATCCTGCACATAAGTTATGCTTATAGTCATTAGGTGTACAAGATGTTAATTAAATTAAACTTGCATTTTTCAACTGCTTATTTATTGATGGAGGAGATGCTGAATGGTATTTTTGTTTAATATAGTGAATAATTTGAGTTTTCATGTGAAATATGAAGAAGTAAAATAAAGAAAAAAATCGATTACGTGTAATTCTTTTGCCAGTGAAGTAGTAATTTTAGTAGGAAATTAAAGTTGGACACCTTGCTGACAATTTGGCCAGCGATGCTTTGAGTTCAAGGTGATCCACTGAGTTCATCTCCCTCTGCTTTGCTGGACCAGGACTTAACCATCCAGAAGTCAGGGTCTTTGGATCACAACCAGAATCCAGGATTGTGTTGGATAAGGTATGACACAGCAAAGTGCTAAAGTGCAGTGAGTGCTTCCGTGGCAAAGTGCTGGCAGTCTCCATTTCCCATTCCCCATGGATTTGACCCACGTCCATCAATTTAATCATTTTCATACCTCATCAGTTTACCTCATCTCATTTGGGCTGTTTGGGCTGCAGCTGTTCTTCATTGCACAACTTACTGTGATATTTTCTCGCATTACATTGTTACCTTTACAATAGAAACTCAATTTAATGATTCAGAAAATCCACTTCTTGACCACACAAGAAGTGTGGTCAAGTGGCACAAAAACTGCATTTCCCCCCTTATATCTTGTGTTTTTACCTTTTTTTTGTCACGCTTAAATTCTTTAGATCATCAAACAATTTTTTGGTGATCTTGAAAAGCAGTTTTAAAAGACATTACCCCATAAACCTAAATGGTTGGGTTTTTGTCATGCTGCGTAAGCCAAACATTCTGCTTAAGGATTTCTATTGGAGCAAAATTACTGCTTAATATTTTCTACAATTTGTCCAGAAGCAGCAAAGTGGCTCCAGACCATCATAGTATCGCCGCCATGTAACTGGCAATATAGTCATTTTTCTGACATGACATTAATTTTCTGCCAGATACAAGATTTAGTTTTTGTCCGGCTTCTGTTTTATTGCTAAATCATAAACATCGATCTAAGTGAGGCCAGCAGTACATTAGTTCCTGTTTTGTGTTGTTTGACAACCTGGATGATTTGTCATTGTGTTTGGAGTAATTCTGGTTGAACTCCTACTTATAAGATTCACAAATGCCATCCAGGGGTGAGCAGTAACTACTTACATTACTTGTGTAACTTTTTGAAAATAGAAAAATGATCATTTCACACCACCACACTTTACTTTAACTTGACTAGTATTATTGGTATTCTTATGTAAAATTACTGAGTAACTTCACAGAATGAAGAATAAACCTTAACATGAACCTACAGTTAAATTTTGTTTAACAAATTTTACTTACTATTTATAACTGCTGAAGCATTGTGCTATTTGGAGATCAAGTAAATGTACAATAAACTTTATACATTGAAACTTAAAGCTTTTCCTGTTCTAACACATTAAGTCTAAATTTTTATATGGGGAGAAAGGGATTTAAAAAGTGTGCTTAAATTTTGCTAATTGATCATTTGTATTACTATTAGATCAGCTACTATGATCAATCACTTGGTACTTATTTGCTGGATTAATTTCTTGGATACCTATGTTTTACTTGGAGTCTGAATATGCTGTCGTTTTATTCTGGACTACAATTTGTAGATCTACCTGCTTCTAGCAAATGACTTTGCTACTGTTTCCAGCCTGATGGACATGGATTTCCTCCATGTTTTGCATTTCTTTAGGTTGGGGAATTGTCTTTTTGAGATATTTTAGCCTATTTTATGTTTTCACTGGTTCAAGTTAAGTGTTTTTCTTTACTCTACATGTCTGCAGTATTCAGTCATTGGTGTGGCTAGTGAAATAAAATCAAAGTGCTGATCATTCATGTTTCAGCAAGAGGGTAAATTGTTTCACAGAAGGCTACATTAGTTTGGATATGCGTTTTCCCCATATGTATTAAAGCTCATTTGAAAACTGCTTTATGCATTCAGATTATCTTTGCCTTAAAGTTTGATCTGAAACATTTAAGGTTTATAAAATGGTAAACAAGAAATTTGTAGCTCCATATTTGTGCAAACATTTTTCACAACATTGTGGCTGATTAGCTAAGCACATTTGTTCTGTATCAATTTGTCACAATTAATTTCATTTTTAACTTGCCTCTTTGATTTGAGAAGAACCTGATATATTCTACCGTTTCACCCCTTAGACCACGCCACTTGATAAAGAGAAGCAAGTTTTCCGACGAAGACGCCACCAGGATGTGAAGCTTTCTACCCAATTGTTGCCCAGCAGTGGTGCCACCACCACCTCAGAGATTGCCAACCCCATCATCTCCCCAGAGTTGTCTCCAATTTCAGCTGACACCGTTCTTTCACCCACTTCTCCCTTCTAATAGGTGTGCAGAAATCACACCAGGTTCCTATTTGGAGAGATTTGTGTTTAATATAATAATGGGTCTCTGGTCCTTAAATGTACCCATTTTCTGGTCACTTTCTCAATTTAAAATACATTTGTAAAATTGAAGGACAGCCCTATAAAATGAACACAGCTTGACAGTATGAAAAAATTGTAAAACCTATTCAGACAGTAGCCTTCTCATGTTTTTTTTCTCCCAATACTGCTTCAAAAACTGGGACGAGCAGGGGCACTGCAATGATTTGGATGTACATGGATGTAGTTCTCCTAAATTTTCCTTTGAGGTGTAGTTGTACTTATCCAAATAATGATGCATGGGTACAAAGATTTGCAAAATCCGTATGTGTATATGATCAGTTTGCTCAGTGAGTGACTGAACCACAATGGAGTGGAGCAGGGATTACAGTTTAACTAAGACAAAAATATATTGAGATAAAAAAAAGACAGATTAGCTGATTGGAGTCTTGTGGAAATATTTTCTTAAAAGCCACAAATGCAGTTGATTTTTTTTTTCTTGAAAGGTGATATTTGAGGTAGTTCACTAGGGCCCTCTGGTGGTTACAACATAGAACTACCTAAATTTTCACAAAAACAAGTTTATTGAATTCTTGCATGTAAATCTTGTTTCTGAATAACCTTGACATGTTTCATGCATATTTTAAAATTTTAAATTAAAATATCACATTAGTTTATTACATGTTACATTTCTTGAAAGCATGTTGCTTTGGGATGTAAAGATGCGACTCGTAATTCCGAAACACATTTGACCAATGCTGCTACACTGGATCATTAAATCATTTAAAAAGGCACCTAGTACTTCTAACGTGAAGATTAAACTAGATCTTGCAATGGTGGTGGTGCAGATGAATCTCAGTGGAGTGTAGGACATTGAAAATTGCACCTTTTTCAAGGCATTACCTTGGCAGACCTGCACGCAAGTGGAATTAGGTGCACATACCTCACAATACTAAATGTCCATTTTGAATGCCAAAACAAATGTATTTCTGACAACTGACATACCTTCTTATTGGAGTTAAATGGTGCAACATGTTATTTTTCACATTTAAGTGAATTCAACAGTGCTTCCACTAATAGTCATTTTAATGTGATTTATGCAAGTACTTTTTTTTTTTTAAGACCTGTATGTTTTCTCATTATGCAATTAATTTTGCTCAGACAAAAGTTTTGAATGTTTGTTTTCCAGGCTCTTACCTGCATGTGATGAAGTGCATACTTTTGAACACTTTTGCTCTCTTCCTGTAAAACAAAAATTGTTGTTCTTTATGAATAGTTTTCATTATAGTGTCTGTCCATGGTAACTGATAAAATTAAAACACATATCTTGACATTAATGCAATGTCACCAAAGGGCTTTTTTTGGGCGTACCAAACAGCACAAAGAAAACAAGTTAGTGAAGAAACGTTTTTATTAATGGTGAATAGGTTTTCTTAATGTGAAAATATTTAGGTGCCTCATGACTTGCCACTTGAAAAGTATTACTGTAATAAAGAAACAAAAAAGACTTGTTCTGAAAAACAAAAAGCTGAAAAAAAAGTAAACTGATCTCAGGAGGTCCATGTTCAGACAGCAGATGGCAGCATAACCAAACACTATTCCAGAAAAATCCACCCTTTGTATTTCAGATTTACAATTTACATTTATTTAAAGAAACACTACATGAGTTGTCTCAGGTCCATAATTTTTTTTTAATGCAATTACAATTTCCAAATATGTTGCATTTAAATTAAATCATATGAAAATGACATGGCACAGCTGGAATATTAAAACACTGCATGAATATTAAAACACTACATAAAATTTAGTCACTGCTTTTTAAGTTAAAAACAGATTGTTTTTTGAAACAAGTTTTACGTGAACACAAAGTAAACCCAATGCCGCCTTAATATATTAGCATGCAAAATTATAGCTTTAGGTAGATTGGTTTTATGTTAGACCTGTGCTTATAAACAAACCAAAAGTTATTAATTTGCATATTTTTGTTGATATAGATTGACAGATAAACAGCATAGTAATGCTTTAATAGCTTTAATCAATATACTAAAATAGAGCAATTTATCTGCATCAATAACTAAGGTCAAGTAACAGAAAACCTTAAATCTATTCAGAAAAAAAAGTATTGCTTATAAGAGTACAGATTGACAGTACGAGCAGGTTGTGAATTAACATGATAAAAACATTTGTGCAAAAAAAAATACAAAATACAAAGGTTTTAAATAACAGAACTGATATCGAATGCACTATTAATAACATGGTCATTAAAATGACATTTTCAAAGTGTCAGTTTTGTTACAAACAGAAATAAAAAAAATACCACCTAACAAATTTGGCATTTAATTTTTTTGAGCCATCTTTTGAACAAAAAATGTAAACTAACAGTTCTACTTAAAAGCATAAAAAACCAAGGCAATGTCACATTTAAATGTTGCTGGCATATTAAAAACATTTATCACAAAGGACCAAGATTACATTAAAACTCACTTTCCCATATTAACGAACAACAAATATATGAACATTTAGTCTTTTCACAAACGTACAAATTAACCTTTGTTTAGGTGCACACAGCAGCTTTATACAAGTTACTAACAAATGTTTAAGGTGATGACTACATTAATTCATGGCTTGCACAATGGCATCGCTCATTTCATTGGCTTGTCCCACAGCATTTACATATTAAGATTTTACAGTTAACAAAAATGTTATGCCACCAGCATTTAGGTCTTTTTCTTCACATTGTTTCCAAATATTTGTCAAATTATTATTTATATTAGGTAAAATATTCTTTACTTTGTTCCAGTTTAAAAGGGAAACATTTAGAATTTAATATCTGTGCATACATTACCTCAGTTTCTCCATAATCACAACAGTCCCACTTGTCTCAGTTCTACAAGACTTTAGCTGGTGTTAAGGTACAATAATAAAACAATGTGTCCAGATTGTACAGCAGCAGATAAATCAGAATGTGGTTGCCTCTGAGGTCAGATGAACATACAAATATTTGATGTTCTTCCCCTGATTGATCCCTTCTTTGCTACTTGGATCCTCTTCTGCTCACCACAGTCACAGGTTAGCAGTTTTTTTTTTTTTTTTTTTTTTTTTTTTTTTTTTTTTTAACAACCATTATGTTGGAAGTTTCATCTGGTCAGTACCTGTTTTGGTGCTCATAGTGCCATCTGTTGAAATCTATGTTGAATGCCACAATGCTGCCAGAAGCCATGCCAGTGATCAAGGTCCTAAAGGGTAGCAAAAGGGAATAAACATACCTCAAACCATGTAATGTCAAGTATAAGGAGAAACATGCAGAAACCATCAGTAAACTATGGGGTTACAGCTAGTTGTTCAATGCCTTCCTGCAACCTTTGTGTCCATGTCTGGCTGGAATGTACTGAAGCGGCTGATTTATCAGGGTAGCTTCTTACTGCTTTACCCCAAGGCTCTGAACATTCAAGCATCGTGAATAGTCGCTGCAGAATGGTTCTTTGTTAGTCATGTTATGAACCTCACTTTACTTTTGCATGTACTTGCAGTGAACTCATGAAGGCAAAGTTTTGGAAAGCAGCTCCTTAAAAGAAATAAAAGGTAAAATATCCTATTTTAGATCCAAAAAGTATGAATCAAATTTACCATTCCATTGTTTTTCAAACCAGGTAAATTGTTCTAAAACTCACTTTTCAGAGACCCAAAAATTGTAACTTTATGTGCTCCGTAAAAGAGCAGAATTTGTAAACTAATATCCAACTATTTACAAGTTTGGACACTTTTGCCCCCTTTTGGACTTGAGGAAAAATAAAATTTCTGGGAAATTCGGCCCACAGTTGCATGGACCTGAGTCCAGCATAAAGCTTCTGCTTTATATGCCGGGGTAGATTCTTTGCACTGCCATTTGGACATAATTTGCTCTCATTTTTTTTTTCTGTTCTATTGTTTTCTTAAATTAAAAAAGATTTCTTCATTAGTTTGATTATGTTGATCTGAGAAAAGTCAGTAATAGTTATTTGCACAGAAAGCTAGGAAGGTATAAAATATGTTTATATGTTTAAGATGTTTATGTCCATTATAAAAGATGGAGCATCTTAACGAAAGCAGGAACAAATCTAGGCTTCCAATTGGATATAGTTAATATGCTTTTTCTATTCTCTAGCTTTCAATATCAATGGCTATCATCATCTCTGTAGAGAAGTGTATCAAAACAGTTCTCATGGGTCATATGACATGTTTGATAGAAGGATTTAAATCTGTTTTGAAAGAAACTAAACCTGAACTCATCCTCTGAGGTAAAATACCATCATGAAACTGCCCAAACCTAACCTTTGATCGTGTGATAGATCCATGGCTCGGATGCCTGCATCACAGCCGGGGTAGATGTAGAGTTGTCTGAAGTCACAAGCTTGCCACACTTCCACCACACCGTTGTCTCCACCTGTCACAAGGTTGTGTCCATCACTGCTCAAGAGAATTGCCTTAAGGAGGGATACAGACAAATTTAACACACCACTTTAGGCTTATGAAAAATTGTGGTTTTACTGCAGAATGTAAAATATGCAACTAAATAGTTTTGTTCTTTTTAAACTTAAGCCCTAAAGTCGAATAAAGAATGTACACAATGAGAATAACAAAAAGGTTGTGTTTAGTTTTCTTTTTCACTTAGTCATTGTGAAAATGTATGAAGGGCATGAAAGGGAAGAAAACATGATTGCATAATCCTATTTGCCCCAGATATGAATTGCTTTGTGTGTGTGTAAGGATATTTTCATTGAGTATGCTAATGTCAACTGTCTTTACCCTGGTAGAATCATTGACCTCCATCTGTGCCAGCAGTTTTCCATTTATGCTGAAGTTGCAGAAGCGGCCTCTCTCATAATAGATGATGCAGTGACCCTCACTGGACACTGAGATGAGCCGTGGGCACTGATAGTCGTCTGGCCCCTCCAGGGCCCGTAGAAGGTCCCCGGTTATGGTGTGGACCAGACAAGGACCCTCTGTCGAACCCAAAACACAGTGTGAGGTACCTGTACTTGTGCTACCAAAAAGAGCTGGACATATTTCTAATTGTTTTGAACCGGTCAGGCTGTCAATGCAAATATTAGTATATTAGCACAATTCAGCAACAGCCAGTGTTATACAAGATAAAAACAAATACCAACTATGAATCAAAGAAACAAATATTACATTTTGTCCAATGCCATCATCAAAATTGTTACATTTGATAACTGTTAACAAATATATTAATCAGTTATTAATCAAAGGCAACTCTGAACAGGTCAGGTTTAAGTCTTAATTGGAAGGAACTCAGTGTTTTGGCTGTTTTGGGTTTTTCTTGGAAGTTTGTTCCAGATTTGTGGTGCATAGAAACTGAGTACTGCTTCATGTTTGGTTCTGGTTCTGGGAATGCGGAGTAGACTAGGATACGGCAAGGCAACTTTATTTATATAGCACCTTTCAGCCAAAGACAATTCAAAGTGCTTGTACAAGAAAGTTAAAAACAACATAAAACAAGAAGATGATACAAAAAAAAAACAAATAAAAAAATCAAGAAGATTAAAATAGACAAAATAAACATTAAAATTTTAAAGAAAGCGAATTAATAGAATTTAAAAAAATTAAGAATAGACAACTTCAAACAAGAAGTTTTTTAACCTTGTTTTAAATAAACTCAAGGTAAGGGCAGTCTTGCAGTGAGCAGGAAGCTTATTCCAGAGTGTTGGAGCATAAAAACTAAAAGCTGCTTCACCATGTTTAATTCTGACTCTCGGAAAATTAGTAGGCTTGATTCTGATGATCTTAAAGGTCTGAGAGACACATCGGGTTGAAGATCAGACATGTAGTCTGGGTTTCTATTATGAAGTGCTTTGTAAACTATTAAGGAGATTTTAAATTATAATCTTTGAGTAACAGGCAGACGGTGTAGGGATTCTAGAATTGGACTGCTATGCTATGACTAGACCCAGAAGACCCGCGTCGTCTGGAAAGTTGATACGCATTTTATTCTTATTTTGGTTTTAGGTTGTATTAATATTAATTATCCCCTGGGGAACTACAAATAAAAAAAAATGCCTTTTTGGTTAAAATTGGCTTATAATGTGATGTACATTGTCCCTTTTTAAGGTAACAACGCTTGATTGTTCCTCTGTACCTTACGTAAGAAATCCCTGTTCTTTATGTAAGCCAAGTACTGGTACAGATAGTCTCATCCAAATCTGCGGTTGCTTATGTCGTGGTCAACAGTGTCAAATACTGTGCTGAGGGCCAACAAAACCAGAACTGTGGTTCTTCCACTGTCTGTATTTAGGTGGATGTCATTGAACACTTTGAAGAGGGCAGTCTCAGTACAGCTGGAAAACCGGACTGAAAAACGTTAAAGCAGTTGGCGGAGGGTAAGAAGCTATTTAACCATTGAGACACTGTCAAAAGTTGACCTGTAATTCTGCAATAGCAAATTGTCCAGACTGTTATTTATCAGTGGTTTGCTAATTGCTGTTTGTAATGCCTAGTGGAAAACATTTGATATCAGGGATGAGTTTACTGTTGTAATAAATGCACTGATTTTACAGTTTGCTTGGGAATTAGTTTTCCTTTAGAGCCATATTTAACACATTTCTGGTCCTCCACTTTTCCATAATGACAGCTACATAAATAGACAAAGAAGATCACTGACCTTTTGCTCCACTGATGACAAGGCCCAGCTCTGCGCAGACGGACACACACACAACTTCCTGGTCATGACCAGTCAGAACTGCTCGTGGAGCTGGGTAGTCACCTAAAAGATGAGACATGTGGAACACCAATAAACTAATTAACAATCTCAGTTTAACAAATGTTCTGTTTAGTTTATTAAATAATACAATTGTATGAAACTACTTTTATAGATCTAATCTCTTTAACATATCTTAACCAGTAAGATTGTGATATACATCTGCTTGAAGGAAAGTCCTATGAATTGTTATGCAAATGCAGAGATGGCTTGATTCACTCCCCTGCGGCTCTTGATTGATGATTGCAGGGGTAGAGGTTACTGAAGGGTGATTCATGGCACCTGGAGCCACTGACCCCGTGATCTTGCTACATAGGAAAGTAATCTGTCTAAAAATAACCTGATCACCAATTAAATCATTTATTAATAATAGTACTTTGCTGCATGCAATGAAATATGAAACTAAATTAAATGACATATGATGTTACACATTTCAGGGGGGAGTTCAACTTTGCTGCTTCTATTGGTAGCCAAAAAGAAATTATATTGGCAATGACTGAGCATGTAAAGAGGGATGATTCTCAGCTGCCCTGTAAGCACTGTTGCAGCAAAAAGGTTCTGGGTTCAAACTCTGACTCAAGTTCTGAAGCTTGCAAGCTCACCCAATTTAATCATGGGTTCTCACTCCAGATAACTTTCTCCATTAGTCCAACAAAAGAGGCAGTTAGTTTAAGCAAATACTCAAAGTTACCATTATGTACAAGTGTATCCACGTATGGTTGTGTTTCTATGTTGCCCTGTGATAGAGAGGCATCCTGTCCAGTTTAAATCCCAAGGGTAGCCTAATGACTGAGACAGGCACGAGCCCTCCAACTCTAAGTACTACAAAGCATTTGTAATGAAATATTCATAACTAATGTAAATGAGTATTACATTAGTAAGGTTTTTAAAAAGACCCCACAACAGATGAGAAAATAGTTAAATTCTTCAATCATCATTTTTGGCAAGACTTCCAATGCAATGCAAACCAACTGTACCAAAAAGCAAATTGATGCTGGAGGGCTGATAGTTTAAGTGTATCTGCAGCCACAGGATCTGAACACCTTGCACTCACTGCGCTGACAAAGCCCTCCTGAATACATAGTATTGCAGGGTGAAATGTGAGGTTATCTGTCAGACAGCTAAATATTGGAAGAACTTCATTCATAAACATGACAATGATCCTAAACACAGCATCTATCCAACTGAATGCATAAAAAAGAAAGGAAAGTAGATTATATATTGATTTATAGATGATGCCTGTTTTGGGGTGTTAAATTGTTTTTCATTTCTTTTAGTTTTGATGTCATTTTATAATCATACACCTGCTGTAACTTTAATTGCCCATTTGGGACTTAAATAAATCTGAATCTGAATTTAAGTAATCTCTGTGAAGGATTATGCAGCTGTGTTTTAACCAACAATCAATACAAACCACTAGCTTGATACGTCGCTGCACAACTGCAGCGGTCCAGTCATCAAAATGGACTATGATCGATGCATCAAAGTCCCTTAGAGACCAGGACCTGTGCTGTCCTGTCAGTCTCCACACCTGTCGCTGAGAAGGAACCAAATAGGACGAATGTCAAAAAAAAGTCCTAGGGGAGTAAAAGCAAGCTCACCTGCTCATCAAAAGATTCAATCACTGGGCTTTGAATACACTCATTCTTTTGGTGGCCCTTGGGATGGGTAGATTCAGCCACCACAATTAACATGGTAAAAATGTGAATGGATGAGACTGAGACACTGAACCATGGTGGAGTTGGAGCTGCGCTTGGTTTAATTAAAACACATTAGATCACATGTGACCTTTTGGAGGTGAATTTTCAGTCCGCAACACACATTCAGAATGACAGCGAACATAAGCTTATTCAAAAAAACATTTATAAGAGATTAAGTGAAATATAACAGAGATAAAATTAGGATATTCATATTTTTAAAAATCTACACTGTATATACTTTTTCAGCAAATTATCTAACCGCTATTCTTTCTTTAGCTTTTCTTTTTGTCCACTAAAGAAGCATTGCAAGCACTTTTGATGTGGATATCAGGGGAATACTGTCTTCCTGCTGCAGTAACACAAGTGATGTTGCCCCTTGCTAATTGGAGGCATCCAAGCTTAAATTCTTAATTAACTGTCAAAGCCTCAGTGAAGTTAATTAGAGGATGCTTGCAACTAAACTCAAGCTCCTAAAATCTTTCACAATTGAAAACACAAGTTTTCAAGATGTACACATGTAACAGGCAGTACCTTGATAACTTTTTGAAAAATAAATTTGTTTTTTAAAAATATTTGTCAATTCCACTCACATGAGATGATAATGAATTAAAACTGGATATCGTTGCTTTGCCAATCCCCAATGGAGACCGAATCAAGACCAGTAATTACACAATGATGCCAAGGTCTGAGAACAACGATGAAGTAGAAAACAAAAACACTTTTGACATGACATTTAAAAGTGCCTTTCAAAAGTATTTATCAAACCTATAGACATTTCAATGAACTGACGTGACAGGCCAACAAGAAAGTAGCAGATGTAGATTTGTTGAGGAAAAATAAGAGATGCTTTTCAACGTTTTCACAGAATCTGAAGTGTGCAGTTGTACTCAACTCTCCTGTGTCAATAATTTTTAACTTCTCTTACACAGAGGTGGACTCTGTTTACTAATGAGGGAACTTCTAAAGGCAATTTTAACTAGGAGTACTAAAGGCGGTTTTCACTGGTAAAACAGCTCTTCATCTCTTCTGATCATTTCAGTGTTCTATATAGAAATTATGGGGAGATTGGCATTCATTAAAAATGAGACAGTGTATCACACCTAGAATATCAAATTAACCAGTATTTGAAATTTGTTATGATACAGACAGAAATGTGAACGTTAATTTTAAAAAAATATGATTCTTACCCTTTGCGTCCTCTTGTTGAAAATAGTTCCACTCGGTATCAATAATCAAACAGCTATCCTGTAGATAATTTATTCTGCCTATATATATATATATATATATATATATATATATATTATATTCCCTTCTCACCCACCACGGGTGGTTCTTATCCTCTGAGCTCGGGTCCTCTACCAGAGGCCTGGGAGCTTGAGGGTTCTGCGCAGTATCTTGGCTGTGCCAAGGACTGCACATTTCTGGACTGAGATGTCTGATGTTGTTCCTGGGATCTGTTGTAGCCACTGCTCCAGTTTGGGGGTTACTGCCCCGAGGGCCCCGATGACCACAGGCACCACTGTGGTCTTCACCTTCCAGGCCCTCTCCAGTTCTTCCCTGAGGCCCTGGTATTTCTCCAGTTTCTCGTGCTCCTTTTTCCTGATGTTGCAATCACTTGGTATTGCTACATCTACCACAACGGCTTTCCTCTGATGTTTATCCACTACGACAATGTCTGGTTGGTTCGCCATTACCATTTTGTCTGTCTGGATCTGGAAGTCCCACAGGATCTTAGCTCTGGCGTTCTCCACCACCTTTGGGGGTGTTTCCCACTTTGATCTCGGGGTTTCCAGTCCATATTCTGCACAGATGTTTCTGTACACTATGCCTGCCACTTGGTTATGTCGCTCCACGTACGCTTTCCCTGCCAGTATCTTGCACCCTGCTGTGATGTGCTGGACTGTCTCAGGGGCCTCCTTGCACAACCTACACCTTGGGTCTTGTCTGGTGTGGTAGATCTGGGCCTCTATTGCTCTGGTGTTTAGGGCCTGTTCCTGGGCGGCCAGGATGAGGGCCTCTGTGCTGTCCTTGAGTCCAGCTTTTTCCAGCCATTGGTAGGATTTACTGATATCAGCCACTTGGGTTATTTGCTGGTGGTACATCCCATGTAGGGGCTTGTCCTCCCATGATGGTATCTCTGGCACCTCAACCTCCGTTCCCTGTTGTCTGAGACATTCACTGAGCACATTGTCTGTTGAGGCTTTGTCCCTGATGTATTTATGGATCTTAGTTGTTTCGTCCTGGACAGTGGTTCTCACACTCACTAGTCCTCTGCCTCCGTCCTTGCGGCTCGTGTACAGTCTCAGGGTGCTGGATTTGGGATGGAACCCTCCATGCATGGTTAGTAGCTTTCTAGTCTTAATATCTGTGGCTTTCATCTCCTCCTTTGGCCAGCTGATTATTCCAGCAGGGTATCTGATTACTGGCAGGGCATAGCTGTTTATCGCACGGATTTTGTTCTTGCCATTGAGCTGGCTTCTCAGGACTTGCCTTATTCGTTGGAGGTATTTAGCTGTGGCTCCTTTCCTTGTGGCCTCATCGAGGTTGCCATTTGCTTGTGGTATACCTAGGTACTTGTAACTGTCCTCTATGTCTGCTATTGTTCCTTGTGGGAGTGAGACTCCTTCTGTGTGGATCACCTTCCCCCTCTTTGTGATCAGCCGACCACATTTCTCTAGTCCGAATGACATTCCAATGTTAGTGCTGTAGATCCTGGTGGTGTGGATCAGTGAGTCGATGTCTCGCTCACTCTTGGCATACAGCTTGATGTCATCCATGTAGAGGAGGTGACTGATGTTGGCCCCATTTTTGAGTCGGTATCCATAGCCAGTCTTGTTGATAATTTGGCTGAGGGGGTTCAGGCCTATGCAGAACAGTAGCGGGGACAGGGCATCTCCTTGGTATATGCCACATTTGATGGACACTTGTGCAAGTGGTTTGCAGTTGGCTTCAAGGGTGGTTTTCCACAGCCTCATCGAGTTTGCAATGAAGGCTCTCAGAATCCTGTTGATGTTATACATCTCTAGGCATTCAATGATCCAAGTATGCGGCATTGAGTCATAGGCTTTCTTGTAATCGATCCAAGCCATGCACAGGTTGGTGTGTCGGTTTTGCAGTCTCGGGCAACTGTGCGGTCTACGAGGAGTTGGTGTTTGGCTCCTCTGGTATTTACACCGATACCCTTCTGTGCCGTGCTCATGTGTTTATCCATGTGTTTGCTTATCTTGGCCGCTATGATGCCTGACATGAGCTTCCAGGTTGTGGAGAGGCAGGTTATTGGTCGGTAGTTGGGTGGGACTGGACCCTTTGATGGATCCTTCTGGATTAGGATTGTCCGCCCTTCAGTTAACCATTCAGGGTGAGTCCCACTTTGTAGCAGCTGGTTCATTTGGGCTGCCAGTCTCTCATGGAGAGCAGTGAGTTTCTTTAGCCAGTAGGCATGGATCATGTCAGGCCCTGGTGCTGTCCAGTTTTTCATACCTGAGACTCTTTCTTGAACATCTGTCACAGTGATGGTTACAAGGGCTTGCTCAGGGAGGTTGCTCTGGTCCTCTCGTAGAGAGATCAGCCACTGTGCATTGCTGTTGTGGGACGCCTCCCTTTCCCATATGCCTTTCCAGTATTGTTCAGTCTCCAGCCTTGGTGGGTCTGCTCTGTTGTTATTACCCTGCCATTGAGAGTACACCTTAGCTGGTTGAGTGGAGAAGAGCCGGTTAATCCTTCTGGATTCATTCTCCCTTGTGTATCTCTTTAGGCGGCTGGCCAAGGCTTGGAGCCTCTGTTTGGCAGTCTCGAGTGCTTCAGGTATGGGCATTGTTTTCATTGTACCCTTGTGGAGCTCTGACAGTTGGCTCACTTCCCTCCTTGTTACCTTGATTTTAGCCTCTAACCGTCTTTTCCATGGTGGGTATTGGGTCTCATGGTTGCTCTTATAGCCAAGTATCTCAAGGATCACTGATGCTGAGTTGTAGATCAGCTCATTGGTTTCTGTTATGGTGTTGGTAGGGATCGTTCTCAATGCTGCATTCACATTCTCAATGAGACTTTCTGATGGTACTTCACTCAGCCGTTGTAATTGGCACCGGGGAGGCCTGGTTGTCATTCGGGTCATGATTCTCTCTCTCAGGTCAGCAGCTGTCTCGTTCAGCTCTGTTTCGCTCATTGGGGCCGTGTATCCCCTCACTGGGTGGGGACTTGTAGTTAAGTCCCCACAGTCCTGACATCCGGGTTCCTCCCTTTTGCCGTAGCATTTGTGTTGTATCTCGTCAATCTCAAGTTGTGATAGCAGTTGCCGTTTGCGGATGTTGGAACACTGAGCTACTAGTTGTTTAGCGCTTAGTGTTGACTGGGGATGTCGAAGTAACCATTCCTTCCCCAGTCTTTGCATGTAACCTCTCTCACTAGGGTTACTTGAGTAGTAGCATTCCAACAGATCCACATTTTCATCTCTCGCCCATTTCCGTCTTGTTCCAGTAGCCCATTTGTCATCAAGGTGCTCTGGTTCCCCAACACCTGACGCAGACCTTGTTTGGCCGGGCGACGTCTGAGCCGGCATGTTATGCAACTTAGTATCTCTCATGGTATGAGGTAGGGAGTAGCTTGAAGGGTCTTGCCTAAGGACCCAGACTGGATTCGAACCCTGCCCTCTCGGGTGATATACTGATGCCTTATGTATTGAGCTATCCAGTCATATATATATATATATATATATATATATATATATATATATATATATATATATATATATATATATATATATTTTTTTTTTTTTTTTTTTTTTTCAGCACTTGAGACTAATGCACCTCAGGGTTTGGTATTATGACAATAATTTATTAGAAAGGAGGAAGGTGCTGATAATCCACCAATGAAGAGAAATGATAATCATGTTTATTCTTTCTCACAAATTTCATTATTTGCTTTGCAAGCTACAATTTTAAACTTGAGATAGAAGTATTGTTTGTTTGTCAGTGAAATGCATTGCTTCTTGGTGGGAAGCAGAAGGTCGCAAAGATAAAGTGAGAATATTTCAGTCGACATACATTTTAAAGTCATAAGTATAGCTGTGGAAAAGACTAAAAGGTTCTGTCTGTGTGTCAAAATCTACTATGAAATCTGATTGGCTGGTTCCAGAGATACAACTTTCTTCAAACCTTCACTATAAGTGTCTTCTTTAGTAACAGAAAACATTATACACTTAATTTTATGTGTCTTGTCTGTTTTGGCTGCAGATTGTAATTTGTCTGAGACGAATGAAAAGAAGAGTTAGTCGTGTATTTTTTTTGTCTTACTCACCGTGATTGGGGTTGTCACCAATAATGTGGTGCCGCCCACTCCAGTACCAAAGCAGCAGGGTAGCATCCCGAGACCCAGAAACAATGTAGCAATCGCCTCCGATGTACGACTCTGATCTGGCCAGACATGTCACCACATCCCAGTGGCCAAAAATGATCTGGGTCAGCTTGCCTAAACAGATTACAGAGCAAAGATGATTTCTATTGTTTTTTTTTTTTGTTTGTTTGTTTTCAGTTGAATTCACTATAAGCATCAAAATTATGCTGCTCACAATTTTAAAAACTGCATAATTTCTATGTAAATTATACTGCTTTAGGAAGAAGGATTGGGAGACATTCAGAGATGAAAACATCAAGGAGTCAAGCTCTTTATTCTCAAACCACGTCATGAGGTCCCAGCTGAATTCAATAAAAAAGAATTTATGAGCTACAGGGACAATAAGTTGTTCTCATTGCAGTTAATAATTTGTTGAAGAGGTGTATATCTATCAACTTTTGTGTCCAGTGTGTCAGGAGACAGTTGCACCAATACTGAATCATTACTGTCATAGTATTCAGTCCTCCACACATCAGAGCGCAGCCCTGTAGGAAACAGAGTTTACACTGTAACCTACCTGTCTCAGAGGAGTACACACGGAAGCTCTTGTCCCAGAAGCCACACACCAGGATGTAGCGGTTGTCAGCTGTCACCACAAAACAGTGTGTGGTGATTTGGATGCTTTGGTCCACTAGGTCTGTGATCTGACGCTTGTTGCTGCCAGTAGTGTTGGCTGAAAGGAACACACAAAAAGAAAAACAGTACCATACCCGAGGTGTAGCACCTTTTTTCTAAAATAGACATAAAGGACAAATATTTATGTCCTTTTCTAGTTTGAAGTTGTGTATTCTCCTTTGAGCTCACTCACCAACCAGAGAATCCATCTCTATAGGGAGATGATGGGCCTGTTCCAGAGAATAGCCTGGTGCTCCACGGAGACCTAGATTCATGTAAGCATACATGCATACAGTTGAACAATTTCACGTTCATACATAGTCAAGCAGCCATTCATTCATATTTTTTACAAGATATAACAATTAATTTATGTCTTACTATACTTTTCAGCTGCACCGTTAAATGTCATTTCATTTACGTGAAACCGTTTTGATTCAGGGACATGTCTAAAATTATGGAAACCTCATTGTCATTCTTATTTCAAAAAGTGAGACCACATTTCCTTCCTCTCCAACAGGATGGTCAGGGCGCTGCAGCTGTGTTCATTAAGGGCAACCGCACACTGTGTACTCTTTGGTCTTGAGTGGTACGTATTTTCTGCAGTGACAGATGGAAACGTGTGAGGAGAATGTGGTGCAGTTGTGGCCTAATTTCCTAGTAACCATTGCTTTGACCCTTTGACCCTAAGGTGAGGCCTGTTCGTAGGGAGGGGCTCCGTGGGTAATGTTGTTCACACATGTCTGAAAAGGAACATGTGGAAACACTCATAGTCAGCTTACCTGGAAGGTGCCAGGTGCTCTAATAGACAGCTTGCAACAAGTCTATCATGAGCAGTGGGAAGGTTTCTTGTGTGACTGTGATGAAGTGATTTTACAGGACCTCTGCTGTGGTAGGTATTGCATGTGGTGTGCCACATTCCCCCTACCCACCCTTCAGCATATGTCTGTGTTTGAACCTCTAGCACCTCTAGACATCGACTTTGCTCACCAACAGTGTTGTGCCATCGATTGACGGCAAATAAGCGGCTGCAGGTGATGGTGACCACGGCTGGAATGGTGAGATGGGGCAGGGTGTTGGCAGCCACATGCGTAACCGGTGAATTGGATGGAAACTTTAACACCATGATGACGTCCTGCTGCATCTGGTCCTTGAACATGAGAGGACTCTGCGGAAGGAAACACTATTGAGTAGAAGAGAGAAAAGACAAAAATATGGGTGGAAAAAATGGAGGCGTCATGATGGATGAGGATGATGAAGGTTGAGAGCATGAAAGGAGGGCACAGAAAAGATGACAAGAAGAGGTATGAAATTATGTAAGAAAAGAATGGAAGAAGAATTGGTGTGGAAGAAAAACAAAACAAGGTTCAGACACAAAGGAGAACTTAATGCAACATCCCCATTTGGCAATTAGACAAAGGATCACAACAAGAGGAGGCAAAGAAAGCTGGAGACACAGGAAATGATTGATACAGAAACATGCATCAGAAATGTCCAGCCTGTTTCACGTAAAATAAAAAATAATATAAAGAATTTCGATTAAGGTTTTGTACCGATTTTGTGATGAATTGCAAAATAGTTAAAAGTTTTGTCATTTCTTCTGCATAAGTAAAATAAATAAACAATCTGTCAAAATAATATTTTGAGGGTGAAGTGCTTTTATTAAACATTGAATGCAGATGAATAGAACAGACTTAAATTAATAAAATTGTTTTATAATCACCTCAGCAGGCATTGGATGTTATTCAAAAATTAAAGTAGCTAAAAATGTTATTTTTTTGTCACGTGACTATCACTTAAGATATTGAGCCACAAGCTTAGATATCTTTATTTCAACTTTGTGTTGTTATGTAATTGAAAAGAAGTCAGAAAATGATACATGACTTTTAAAATTTAAGACACTTGAAACTAGAAGTTGTGGTTTGTCTATATGTTCAGATTAGATGAGTAGCATCTGAACATAAATCTTAAGTTATGACAAAACTTTTAAAAAGTTTTACGTAGGGATGCGCTAATTTGAAAATGTGATATACAATATTAGTATTGTTGTTATTCCCGTCAACCAATATTTAATTATATAATATAAATATATCTTTGCCTGTTAGCATCACAAAAAATAATGACTTCACCGCTAACATTTTTTTTCTGCTGAACATATGCAAATCCTAAACATATACACAAATGGCAGCAAGAAGGAAATAAACACTGGTTGTTATCAATCCAGTTTTTCTTACTGGGCAACTCTTTCATAGAGGAAAAATTGTTAGGCAATTGGTTTTGTTGGATTGTATTTGGGGGTATCATAGTAAAAGGGGCTCAGAAAATGTGCCAAACTTTTTGAGTCTTATTTATAAGTGACTTGTAAAATCATCATGTATTTTCCTCCCTCTTCATAATATTGCTCTTACTAAATGCTGGTGCATTAAAAAAAAAAAAACCAATAAAATAAAATGCTGCTCACTGTGATTTTGACATGACAAAATGTGAACAAGTTAAATGTTTTATTTTTGTTTGTCTGCTTCTACAAGGCGCCATACATAAATGTAATTGGAAAAACACAACTTTTAGACCAGTAGGGAGCACTGTTCTCACTAAACTTCACTACTTTTGAAAATGACCAGTTAAGATGCACCACAGAATACTGGTCCTAATAACTGTTAGTTAAACAGGGGCCCTGTGACTACACAAGATAAAAATAAAACATTTAACTGTTAAAAAAAACAAAACAAAAAGATTGAAAGAATGCCAAGTTAGAAAACATTTTTCATAAACTTAATACTGCTTGTAAACCAAAATATAGACGGTCTACCCAGCCTCCCTGAACCACACACACACATCCAGAGGTGCAGTGAAGGTTCCCAGCATGCTCACTGTTCTCACCAGGTGCATGGCGGAGCTGCGTGGAGGATGTGGCTCGATAAGCAACTGAGATGGCGTCTGTCCAAAGCTCTGGATCTGCGCCTCTGTGGCCTGCGGGAGAGAGCAAGCGAGTGAGAGAGTGGCTGTCACAATCAATATGCATCAAAGTGATGGGTCAATGCGTTACTTGACAATGCAAGCAAATCCTAACTCAGCCGTGCCTCTGAGGAAGGGGGGAGGTGAAGGGAAAGGGGTGCACTCCCAATCCGCCTGGGTGCTCCCCCTTCCCCCCTCTGCCTGCAGAGTCATCCAAGTGTTAGTGTGGAAGAGACAAGCCTTTTCCTATTAACATGCTTCAGTTAACCATTCCCCATTTCCAGGAGCAGGGGCCCCAACTGCACAAACGTTAACCTGGAGTGACATCCAGATAGAACTGCAGCAGGCCAGCGTGCTTTTAGATGTTATTGTACTTGAAACAAAGCACAAAAGCATGTGTGTATAGTCATACTCACATACACACACACGCACGCAAACAGAACACCACACAAGATAGACTTTGTGAGTTAGGTAAAGGTACTACCTCAATGAAGGATGATTTATGGAGGGGAAACTATGAGAATAACAGGGAAAAAACAGAACTGAAGTCAGATAACGAACAGTGAAAAAAGAACACCACCACAAGAATCTGAGCTCTTCTATTTTTAGAAAATAAACTTGGGGAAAAAAAGACAAAAGAGCTTCTCTGCTTGCAACAAAAGAAAAAAAAACTAAACTAAACAGAAGCAGTAAGAGCTGCTGAGCTTGACTGAAAGCGTGGCACTCTAAGGTGGAGGTGATTGATGTGACTGAAGCCTTTTCCACCATCAGAAGAGCTTGTAGATGTCCATCAATGCCATTGTGCACAATAAAACATACATCGTTCAGCCTTTCGTCTGCCCTCCCTACTGCCTGTGTGACTGGCCCTCATTTTCCTGCTCCTGTACACACCACTCACTATCAAAAAGGACCCATTGGGTAGCAAATGCCACAGTCAGACGTGGCGCAGGGCTTTTGGAGGTGATGCCGAATTAGGACAGGCCACCTGCGAGGCACACAGTCGCCCCCAACACAGCCTGGTCACTTCAGATCTTTCACGGCTCCAAAAAAGGCAATGTCCACACTGGTGAGCGCTGTCATGCAGTGAACGTTTCATGTGAGCTGGTTTGCACATTTGGGAAGCATTAAACGTTAGCGTGTTTTTTACAACGAAGTCTGCCAAGTAACTGAGGCAACTGACATTATGGGTATTTAAGGTTAGGTTCAGGGTCAAGGTGTCTGTTCAAATAAAGAAACTCGATCCATAGACCATAAAGTCTGAGATAGCTGTCATGTGGAAAACATCAAATTACTCATAATGATAAAAACTGGGCTGCTGAACGATGATAGTCTTGAAGCATATTATTTTTCAAAGGAATCATTGGCTAGTTTTCTTTACTTTTGAGTTCTTTTGTGAGGATTTTACCTTGTTGAAGGTTAAATCATCGATATGTTATTTCACAAGCTGATCAAAACACATCAATGTTTCTCATCCAATTGGACACTGATCCCCAGAGATGGATGACAAAAATATGTCTGTATTGCACTCTCAGGTAGTATAACTAAACAGGCAAGACATTTCTTCATGTCATTAAAGGCTTTGCTCTTTGGCTGAGAAGTGGCTCACTACAACCATTTAGATTATTTTCCCTCCAAGCAAAAGCTGCCTTGCTTGGGTGAGCAAGGCGGCTAGGTTCACTAGAAAAGGAGCTTGACTAACAAACTGGCTGTGTCCACAAACAGAAAAAGGTGAAGAAGCAACCAAGAAAATCCCACTGCTATTTTTTAAACAAGATGTAACATCTACCCACAATAACAGCAGAACCACTGTGTGGTTTATGGGCCGTGGTATTGCTGTCCGTATTGGTCAACAAACTCGCATGACTTAAACCTCACTGATAGACTCAATAATGTGTTAAGCTACATTTTTGACTTGAATTACTGATATAACTCAACTTTTTTCAATTCCCTTTTGTTATATTGAGACTGACCTATACATGTAGGTCAGGATGATCTACAAGTATCGCTCTCCAGAGCACACATGCAGCAACACAAAAGCAAACATTCCCTTGTGATGACTAAAGCAGAAAGGTGAGATCATTTTGAATCATTGAAGACCAGAAATGGCAGCTACAAATTTGGAGCAAGCTTTCTGACCTTTTGACAGAGGTCAAAGATAACACCGCAAATTATTTCCAATAATTTGGCTTTCGGGAAACAAAAACATTTTATACAAGAAAAAAAAAAATCCTACCAGAGGAATCACATAAAGGAATGTACAGCAGCTGTGTTAGTTTCCTATGTAATGACACTCTTTACATGTCAACAGAAATTTTCTTCAGACAATCTCATCATGAATGTAATCCTGAAGTAAAACAAAGAGTAGCCCTGAAGCTTTTTTCTTAAGTGATTACTTGGGAATGGACATCTATATGACTTTAAGTGAGAGCAAATATGTCTCAAACAATTTGTCCACGGGTAAGTGCCTGTGTCTAATCCTGCTTTCATCACATATAATGGAAATTAAAATCTTTATGATATGTGATAGAGACAGTAATGTAAACCATTTGAACATTTGTATTTCATCAACATCAGAATATCAAGGTGAAATCAATTTAAGGAATGTCAACAAGCTCAAAGGCTGTCAGAAGCTTGCTGCAGCACACTTTGGTGTCTTTGTTGATGCAGAGGTGGCAGGAGGGGCAGTGGCAGGAGGAGCAATGGAGTTCCACTGATGAATAATTTGTCTGTTTACTTGTGAGTGACACAGTGGGGTCTGAATCAAGGGGTTGCTGTCATGTTTTTCCATAAGAAAAGGGTGTCAGGAGAGGCATCACAGCGAAGGATTGCTGTTCCGGCAGCATGCCCAGAAGAGCTGTCACTGTTCCTCAACCACAGACCAGAGGCCTGGCAGCATGTCAGGAAGTGTCATCATTTTCATCTGACACGCACAAGGAAATTATCTCTCGTGACCTCTAATTTCTTGACGTTTCAAATGCCTTAATTGTTGTGACTAATGCCAGGGCGGCAGTTTCACCTGTCAGGCCACGGATGAATCAATACCAGGAGTCAATCATCACATATCAACAAATCTTAGTGAGACGAACACTCGGCACAATTCCACCTCATTGACTCATCCAAGCAGGTAACACAATGACCTGGGAGAGGGGAGTAGTAGGAGGAATTAGTAAACTCTGACTGAAATAAATAGAAAATACATGCATGAATTGAGAAATATTAATATTCTTAAAATAGTTTCTCAAAATTATTATTCTACTTTAGTTGTACTATATCCCCTGTCTTAGCGGGATTCAAATGAAGATGTTTTTAGAATGCAAAATAAAATCAATTTGTAAATGTCAAACACGACATATTGAAAATTACTTGAAAAACATCAATTATGTCACAAATGAGCTTCAGAAATAGACTAGAATGACTCATTCAACATTAGATTCTGTTAATAATGGGCATACTTTAATACACATATACTTTTAGAACAGCAGGAATGTTTACAACATTGTATTTTGGAACATATGTATACCGCAAATGCATAAGCTCTCTAAGGTAATAAATATTGTGTCCTTCAACAAACAAATATTTAAACATTACATTAATGCCCATGGACAACTTTACATACTACACACTTGTACTTTAGTTAGTATTAAAAAGGTAAGCAAATGAATTGCGTTCTTATACAAACTTACTGCAAACTCAAACTAATTTTTTTTTCCATGGTGGTTATGAGGAGAAAAAACATTGAAAAAATATAAATAGATCAATCTTTCTGAAAAAAAAAAATAGTGTATTAATGTATATAAATCTTTGTAAAAACAAAAATGATAACGTAAAATTTAAAAAAAATATATATATAAAATATAATAAATTACAAAACCTGGACAGTTTGTCTTAATTAGTGCTCATCATATTAACAAAAAAAAACATAATTTAGAAGATCTAGTTTCTGACACAATTAAATTCAGATCTCACACTCTCACATAATTAGGGACTCTAAATATCTGACTTCCTAATGTGAGACTAACTAAGAGTACTGTCACCCCTCAAAGTAACAACTGTGACAGCAGAAGACAGCTAAAACCTTCCAGTCTGAAGGAAAATAAACAAGGCATCGTCAAAACTATTTCCTGAAATAACACAAACCAAACCTTTCACAATATGGTTTGGTAATTAGATGAGCCAAATCTTCTGCAGGTGATTTGCATAGTGGTCACTTGATAAATAAAGGCGCCCCTGAAAGTGACAGTATATAAATGAGTTGTTTTGCAGACAGCAGATGGTGAATATCACAGGGAGAGGAGAGCTCACACTGGAAAGTGCCACAATGCATGCCAGCTGCTGCAGTTTTTGGTCCCCTATCCCTTTGCAATTATGCAAACAGAACAATCCACATAATAGTTACTGAGTTAATTTGTTAAAATAAGAGGATTATGTCATGTATCTATTCATTGAGTGACTGCTTTTGACTGATCAAAGAGCTCAGACAGATATTTTGACCTGATTGGGAAAAGCGACATTCAGTATATTCCAAAATAAGGGCGTCGAAATATGATGTTAACAGGATCAAAAATGTATTTGAAATGATATTCAAAGAAAACAACTTCATTGAACAGCAGAATTAAAATCTCATGTCAACAAAAATGACTTCCATCTTGTAAACATGCAGAGTCAGCAACCCTGACAGTTTATCCTACGGGTTAGACTTGCATCACATATTAATTGACTGACAGATGCACAATATGAACGCTCCAGGAACTGAAAGGCATGTCTGGACAAATACACACAGGAAGTTGCATGCATGATGAGTAAGAGAGTAGGTGCCTTCATCCACCGTGAGAATATGTATGCGTGTGTCTGTGTCTCCGCGAGCGTTACCTCTCTGAGCAAAGGGTCAGCAATACTGTCCAAGCTGACGGAGCCCTCATAAGTCAGGTGGTGAAATACGTTGAGGGCACGCACCGCTTCTGGCCCTCGCTGCTTGTAGCCGAAAATAAGGTCAATCCACTGATGCAGCTGACATGACACAAACTCGCTTTCCAGGGCCTGTCAGAGGAGCACAGGGCAATTAGAGGTGGGGGGCACCCCAGGAACACAAAGCACAGGAGCCAAAAGTCACAAGGCAAAGTCAACTTAAAGCACAAACAGAGTGGAGATAATCACTGAAATAATGGTCTAAGACTCTTTTTTTGCCAAGAACTTTACTTATAAGAAACCCAAAACATATGACCATAGTTAAAACAGAATGGTTAAAAGTGAAGCTTAATCATGTGTTAAAAGGATAACGTCCATGTCCAGACCTAAGTCAACCGAGAATCTGTGGCAAAACTTGAAAAGTTTTGTTCACAGTTGCTCTCTATCCAGTTGAAGTGAATTTGTGTTAATTGGAGAAGAAAAATGGCCAAACCTTACAGCTTCTGGTCTGTGTGTACCGACTTGGAACAAACATATCCAAAAAGGCATAAACCTGGAAATGCAGGTGCTTTCAAAAGTATCCACTGAGTTTTCCAAGTTTTATTGTAAAACAAAAGAAATGGAAAACTACATGTACTTTTCCTTTCATTCACATTTATGTTCAGAATGTTATGTTGGTTAAATAAAATGTTGAATGTTTTTGGGGGGGTTATATTAAAAAAATCCAAGAAGTTAAAGGAGAATGAAGAATTTTGCAAGGAGCTGTAACCTGCAAAATGCATCATATTCACAAACCCACACACGACATGCAGATTTATTTTTTTTAATATGCTAACAATCCTGCTTTTCACTCATACAGTATAGACACTGTATAAGGAAATGAGCCAGTGGGATGAAATACGTCATCTTAGGTGTCTCACTGACTTAGTGAGATTTAGAAACCATGGCCAAAACAAACTGGCACCAAGAGGACGAAGGAAAACAAAGAAATCATTTGGGAAAGCACCATTTGAGCTAACTTTACACAGCGTCCTCAACAGAAAAGGAGCAGAATAGCAAATTATGAAAATGAAAACTGTGACATGCCTCTTAAAGCATCTTTATGGAAATATCAAAAGCACATGGAGAAATCTTAGTGTGTGCTGCTTTTGCTCGTATTATCGGTGCTTTCAGTCCTTCACAGTAAAGGGAACAATCATTGTGAACTCAAAAAGGCTTTGTGGAAGAGTAAAACTAACTAATTAACTTAGAGGGAAGCTATCATATCTCTTTCATGAGTTATTATTTTTTTCTTATTGTTCCAGCTTATCTTTGTGATCTAAATAGTCTGTGGAGCTGCTGCTCAGACAAAGCAACAAGGGTAGAAGTGTCTTTTCTTATTCATCTGCACAAAAGAGAAAATACACAAACAAGCAAAATTTGAAGAAATTCAACTTCTTCCAAATGATTTTCCAAAAAATATGAATATATTATTGTCTCTGAGAAATGGATGGTAACAAAACAATTTGAAGCACATTTCCAAGAGGGGAATTTTATGGATTTAGCTCGCAGTTCAGAGTCCAATTGTATCATTTGGTTAGTGTTATGTAACTTAACCACAGAAAAACAACTGGTATTTTATGGTAGGTTAAATGGAGATATTTGTCTTAATTTAACGATCTAACAAAGAACAATCTTCCCATCACACTTATCTCTCCACTTACCACAGTATCTTCGTGGAGACAAAGAAATTCCCTTATTAATACAAAGATCAAACACACTTTAAAACTAACTGCAGATTAAAAAAAAAACAAAAGGGAAGAATTATTGCTTTAGTGGATAAACAAGCTAGATTTCTTGTAGGAGGATTGGAGGGAGACTCTGGGTATAATTTAAGAAAGCTCATTACAAATCTACAGCACCTATAGAAAACCTGCAAAGGGGGGTCGGAGCATTGTTCCACAGCGTGCTACAACATAATTCCCATGCAGGCAGAGGTGAAGCTTTGCAAGAGAAATTTACACTCCTCCCCTCACGTCAGGAATAACAGCCATTACCAACAAAGCCTGCTCGAGCTCTCAGAGGCAAAGTTTGCCACAGGGCATATCACGACAATTGAAAGTGGCACATGCAAAGATGGGAAGTGGGAGGAGGAGGAAGGGAGGGAGAAAAAAGAAACAGAGAAAAGAGGGAAGAAAAAAGAGAGACAGAAAAAGGGATGAAAGTCCAGAAGATTCACAGACAGAAGAAGAAATAAAAGAGGAAGTAAACGTGGGCTATATGGGGAAAAAAGAACAAAAGAAAACAAAAATAGAAGAACTCCACAGCGATTCTTTTAAACCGTTTAAAAATCCAAGGATAATGTCAGGCATGTTTATCCCGTCAACATGACAACATTTCCACTGCAGCTGTTCTTTCTCTTCCATTCATCCGCCTTTTCTGTTCAGGTGATGCGGACATACCATTAACAGTTTTTCATTTTTCCCGTTCCTCCCCCCACTCCGCTGGTGTACGCGCCTGATGGAGCACAACCAGGCAGCGTGGGTTGAGCTTGGGGAAAGGTCACCTGCATACAACCAGCCAAACTCTGCCACTCTGGCTGAAAAGGTCAAAATTGTTCCTATGGCGTCCTTCTACTTCAGGTCCAAAACCACTGTGGCCCCAGGGTATATTGTTTCTGCCCAGCTGTGTTGCAGAAGTTGCTCTGCTTTTATAGAGGAAGTTGGTCATTATGCCTAAATTAGAAAGCAGAGGCATATTAAAATCTTTTACTGGGAATATAAAGTACATTTTTGCTGCCTTGCTCCACCTTTGGCACAAAGTAATCACAGTTGTTTGGCTTGTTTAACATGAATATACTATGAAAATAATTGAAATATTAAACAGTGGGAATATTAGTTGCTTTTTTCACAAAATTGTAAAAAGACAATAGGACATTATGTTTACCTTTGCTGACCCATAAGTAGGATTGTTCACATTTGTATATAGTCATTTTTGACCAAAATCCTCTAGTTCTGCAGTGTATATCAAGCTATTTATCAAGTAACCTTTGTGTGTAGTTTTTGTGTTAAAGCAGAAAGCAGATTTTCTGAGTTTCTACACTAAGTCATTTGAGACTAAATGAAAAACTGAGTTTATCTGGTGGTAACAAATGACCCTGATTTGCTGTTTTGGTGCTGTATGCCTGAAACCTTTTGGAAGTTGGGAGCCCCATGCTGTGGGATGTGTTTAAACACACAGTCTCAGACATGAAGACCTTTGCCCCCTACCCAAGTGATGGGGCCCCGCTTCGTAAAGGGCAGCTTTATACGATAAAATTGCCCTCAGCCCTCTCCTCTAGTGATATTGCAGGAACTCTGGTGGGAGAGATAGTACCGAGTAATGAGTTTAATGAGCCACAATTTGGACAAGACTTTTAAAGAACTGTCAGAGGGTAACAATTGAGTGCTAATTATTATAGAACATATTGTAAAATTGTTAAATTGATCACGGTTGTTGAATACTAACAGATAAGTATGGAACAGGAAAAAAGATGCTATATTAAATTCTATAAGTGATGCAAATTCTGACAATTTCAGGCACCTAACCTGCAGGTTAACATATTATCATATCATGATAAAGGCCTTCTGAAAGAGTCCTGGCCAGGGTATACAATTTATGTAAATGATGCATAAAAATGATATATATGGCATAATTTTTCTTTATGGTGAAGACCTCATGTCGTTCCTGCAATTTTGTTCCTGAGACAATGCTCATAATGCTTACCATCCTGTTTATCCGAACAAAGTCTTCAGGCTTCTTGGCCCAGGCTGGCAAGTCCACATCACAGATCATGGTTCCATCTTCCCTCATTCCTAAATGGTAGCCATTGCTGTTAACAAACATCTCTGGGAGATAGTAGAACTCGGGAATCAGTTCCTAAAGAAGAGAAATGTACATATAATATTTCAGGGGTGATTCGGAGAATCTGGAAACGAATATGTTTGTGGATACAAAGATGGAGAAAGGAATAAAAAAAACATAAGAAACAATCTCACTGAGATGAAGTGAAAATTCAAGGGGAAAGGTAACACAAACAAACTGAACAGCAGGCCATCAGAGGGTCGTTGAGTGGTGCTAGTCCCGTTATTCCAGGCAGAGGTGTTAGATGTGTTAAATGAAACTGGAACTGAGTTGGGTTTTTCTCTCTAGTCTCTAGGTTCTTGTGATGGGGTCAGGACCCTGCTGTGGAGGGGAAGTGAGCTTGGTAAAAGAGCTCTTAATGTAAAGCCGAGTGTGATTTACACTCAAGGGGAGAGCAAATATTGACCTGAGCTTTGAGACAACACGTTTCCCAACAGGATTTTCTGTTGTACTTAAACAAGAGCAAATCCCATATGTTTGACAGTTTCTTGGAAAATTCATACCACATTGGATTTTTTTGCCACATTTTTCTCACTGTGACCACAAACATTTGTAGGTTTTATCTATATTTTATGTGATAAATCAACATAAGTTGATGAATAAATATGAAGTGGAAGAAAATTGCTAAATGGTTATTCAATTATTTGGTAAATATACATGTGATCTGCATTAGTGTAGAACCACCCTTTGCTGCTTTTACATTCACGTCTTTTTTGTTACGTCTCTGACATCTTTGTGAATCCAGGGGCTGAAACCTTTGTTCATTCTTTTCTGTAAAAAAGTTCTAGTTTAATCAGATTGGACGGACAGCATCTGAGCATCGGTTTTCAACTCTTGATACAGATCCCCCATTAAATTTACATAAATATATTTTGATCTAAACCATAACATTGCAACTCTGGATATTTTCCTTTTGAAATGTAAAACTCCACCACATTTAGAATTGTGTGGCAACCTCTCACAGGTTTTCTTCCAGCATTGCCGTATTTGGCTCCGTCTAAATTCTTATCAGTCCGAACCAGCCTCTCTGTCTCAGCTGAAGAAAGGCCTGCATAATGCATGATGCTACCCACACTATGTTTTACCATGGGGATGGTCAGTTGGCTGTAATAGTTAGTTGTGATTTCTGTCACAGTGTTTTGTATGCACAAAAAGGACAAGCTTGGTCTCACAAAACCAGAGAATCTTCTTCCATGTGTTACCACTGTCCCATCCATAGCTTGTGTCAATATGAAACAACATGTCTTATGACTTTCTTTCAGCTATGACTTTCTTCTTACCTCTATATCACTAGTGACAGATTTAAGGAATGTACAACATCAAATTGTCCTGTTGACAGCTTCTCCCAACTAAGCCATGAATTTCTGCAGCTCCTTCAGATTTACCAAGGGCCGCTTGTTTCTGAGATTAATGCTCCTCCAGCTGGTCTGTCAGATGGATAGTTATATCTTGTTAGTTTTCAAGCTCTCCAACATTTTTCCAAATTTCAGTGAAGTGAAATTTGCTCCTAATGCCAAAGGTTTTGTTTATTGGTACTCACAGAATAGTCATACCGACATTAAACTACTGATATGTCTACTCACTTCACCATTTAGCTGTCTTCTAAAGATAATGGTGACACTGTATTAGATTTATGGGTGTCAGAGTAAAGGGAACTTTTTTTCCTGAGTACTCATTTCTGAAATAAAATTAAAAAACACATAATTTTCCTGCCACTCCACAAGTATGCATTACAAGTTTAAATGAATACTTTTGTAAGCCATACCATCTTTTAATTTCATGACTAAACATATATTACCAATTTTAATACTGCAGCATGGTTAAAATTTAATGCCTTATGCATCCTCCATTTGGATCCTTTACCCTCTTGATCTACGAAAGGATAAAGGAGCAGAGTATCAGGAATAAGCACTCTAGGAATGTAAGTCTTTCACCTTGTTCTCATTAGGTACATAGAAAAGTTTAAGAATAATTGTCTTTCTCTCAGGCTGAGATTATCAAGTCAGTACCTTAGCTCCTCTAATTCTCTTTATTTTATTGAAGCAGCATTTGTCATATTCAGAGGTAATAAAGACTTTAATCCTGCCTATGGGAAATTTATTGTTTAGAGCTTTTAGGTACCCATAAATCATTTGGTTTTCAGACAGTGAGTTGCCATGACATGGTACAGGCCAATAAGACTACTGGTCTGCTGTTGGTCAAATTTCACCCTCTGCACATGACAGAAAAAGGAGGAAGAAAAAAAAAATCATAATCTGTGTTTTCTTCTTTTCTTCCACACACACATAAGCACACTTTCCCTCAGCTTCTTTTGGTTGTAAACTTGCTGCTGTAACTCACTGCCAAGCTGTTAAAACTGCCAGCTCTGCTTTCAAGCCACCCTCCCATGGTAGCCATTAATTCTGCAACAGCATTGTAATGGGCTAACAAGTCAATCACTCAAGCCTACATTGCTTTACACTGTGTCACCTTAATGACATGTTTGTCAAAATCTGTCACCAGGAGAGTGCTGCTGGATACCTTCAGACAACACACTGGCAGTTTGTGTGTGTGTTTCCGTGTGTGTGGATTTGTCCCCGAAACTTTAAAGAAAAGTCTATCTCTCTTTGTCAATGGGCAGCTGTGCCAGCATAACTTGACTGCATGTTCATGCAGAAATAAATGAAAGGTATGGAAGAGAATTTACATAAATTACAGTGTTTTTGGGAAGGAGAGGTTCTTTTATCAGGGTGTTTCCATTTGACTTGCTCCTATAAGGGGTCATCTCCATCAGGAGCTCAGCGTCCCTAGGCCTTGTCATCATTACTACAGGAGGAGGTTGGGGTTAATGAAAGAGAGACCCTGGTAAAAACAAGCTCCCTTTAAATCAGAGGCCCAATGGACTGCTCAGTGGTCTGAGCAAGTCCACTGAGTCAGCCTGGCCCTGTGAGCTGACTATTTTTGTTTCTTTCCCACTTTGGTGGATTTGTACCCATTTTTGAGGGTAATTTTGTATATATATATATATATATATATATATATATATATATATATATATATATATATATATATATATATATATATATATATATATATATATATATATATATATATATATATATACACTCATAAGCATAAAATACCATAATTTTTCACATTAAATTTATAAAATGTATTGTATTTTAAATGTAGCATATTTATGATAAAGTTATCTCTGTGTCAGATTTTCTTTTTAAGAATGCAACTGGCAATTATTTTTGAAAAAACTTGCTACTGTTGGATTTTGTCATAGATCTTGTGTAAAATATATATTTTTTAAGTGCTTTTTGGAAAGCTAATGACATCATTAGCTAAACCGGGCTAACAAGAAGCTAACACAGTGCCATTTCATGCAGCTTGGCCGACCAGGAGTAACCAGGAGTAAGTATCTCTGGTGTAATATTTCTGCTTTTCTATTAAATTATGAAATCCTTTCAGGAATACTGCACTGTCCTTCATAGTACAATTTCTCTAATAGTTTAGCAACCATCTTACATGTGTAAAAACAAATGCTTGCTGACATGCAAGTGGCCAAACGTAGACTGTATATGTTAACAGGGTGGCATTTGACTATCAAGTTGTTCAGCGGCTTGCAGTGTTATACCTCTTCCTCTCATGGATTGCTGGTTCTCCCACTGATCCCAGCGAGTAAAAGCCCTGTCTGTACATAAAAGACTACATTTTAAATAGCTTTTGTCATTAATGCTTTATTAATTGCCTGAGGCAACACTATCCTACGCAGGGTGTGCTAGAAATATATGACACTTTGAGGTCAGTGCGTATCCCTGCTGTGTGTTATATGCAGTGGGCAAAATGGAGGCAAATCAGCAGGGTTCAGCGTTTTTCAGTGCATGCACAGAGAATCTGTAGAGAGAGAGGGCTTTGTTTTTCTTTCAGATTCAGCCTTTGTTCAAGAACAGTCTACCTCTGAAATGGTTTGCTTTTTGCATGAGATAAATCAAACATGCATAGAGTGTGTGCACACTGTGGGGTTGTGATTTCTTTTTGTTTAGATAAGACATTTATAATTAATGGGATGTTATTTATTTTTACAATCCTGAGAGCTTTACTGAGGAAGGAAAGCAGGCTTTGTGTGATTCTGCATGCATTCTAACAGCAGATATTGAAAACAAAGCATTGCTACATGGTTTTGTTATTTTCAGGGTTGAACTTTGTCTCACAGCCAAACCACTGAACCACATAGATACCCAGACACAAACACATGATGGTTCTACAGTTGCAAGGATAAAACATACACCCTGGACTGTTATACTTCTCACTTTTACATCCGACGTGTCTCTTTGACAGTTTCTCCAAGAGCGTGTGATGGCAGAAAATGTGCGATCAGGATGGTCGAATTTGTTATCGTTGGCACTGAGGAAGAACGTGGTGAAGGGCTCCTACAGAGAACGAAAATGAGACATCAATTCAATTGAAGCTCAAATGGAAAAAGATGATAGTTTTCCCGCTTTCTTGACATGTTGACTACCATGGCATGACATGCTTGCTGAAAAAAGAAACAATTTTTTCAAAACAGGCAATTGCCCACTTATTCAGAATATCTGCATTTGTTTTTCTTGTTATCTCTCCCAGCTGAACAGTAGGAAATAGCTCTGAAATATTTAATTGTACTAAAACTTGAAGAAAAAGAATTATTGTGATCTTTCTGAGAGCAGCAAAAAATAAAGTTTGAATTTCAGAGAGTTTGATCTCGACTATTGGCTGTTTCAGAGAACAGATTGGTCACCATGTGGAGGATGCAAACACGCTGGAGCCTTTCTAGCTTATTTCAGGGAAACTCCCTCATTTCATTAGCTCTTTTGTAGTGATAATGGCCATAGGATAGCTAAACCGCACTTTCTCCATAAAACTGTTCCAGTTTTGTAAGCTTTCTGAAGCCATGTGTAAAGTGTTCAAAAGAATCCCTGCGGGTTATAAAGGCCTATTTTATAGGAACCACACTGGAGGTGAGGTGCCTCCTGCTCCTCTTCCTCAGTAAATGAGGACAGTGCTCAGTAACCTTGATGGACATGTCTCCAGCGCTCACTGGGTTGCCTGAAACACATAAACCTGTCACAGCAGCCCCTGTAAATCATTACCCAGCCACTCTTTATTTAGTTCACATATGCCGGTTTACTGGCCTGTGAAATGTGTTTTCTGAGCGCCATTGGTCCAACTCAGCCCCAATCAAATTGAAATGTTGAGCTGCGTCCTGTGCAGAAGCCGACAGACCTCAAAGCAACAGCATCATCAAGTCTGACAAGTGACAATCAACCACTGCAGACAAAAAAATAAATAAATAAATAAATAAATAAATAAATAACAAAAAACTGTGTGAGGCTGTGGTTTGACTTCACTCCTATTCACATACTTGACTAATTCTCCGATTAGAATAATAACAGGAATGGAGGGCGGCAAAAGGGAGTGATCGTACTCACTATTCTGACGAGCCAATGCAGAGTGGTGGCAGCAGTGGAGTAGTGGGAGTCGTAATGATAGGGAGGTGTCTGGTCTTCTTCTCCTGACTCATAGCGTTCGGAGTAAAACGCTGCACGCTTTGGATTCAATGCACCAACAGGCTGAAAAAATGGAAAGAGAAAAGCTTAGTTCTGGCAGTTTTGGTTACTTAATTGAAGTTTACCAATATTTCCTCCCCAAAGGACTTTTTTACCCTTAAAAAAAAATCACCTGCTTTATTTAAAACAGAACACCTGTGAAATCTCCAATTAGCATGCTACAGGTTATATAAACAAAGGATAAATGCTTTCCTGCTTCTTTCATAATATTTCATAAAAAATTATTTAATAATAAAATTTGCAATTATTTAATATTTTCTCTAGATTTGTGTCATGTTCCTTTTATAACTTACTATAAATCATGTAAGTGAATGTCAGTGGCAGAAGGTAATTCTTTCTCACTGTGTTCTCATCCAGTCTTAAAATTAACTATAGTTTCTCTGAGGGGAAATAAAAACCTCAACTTATGTGAAACTGCAAAATATGTGCATTTTGCTTTGCATATTATTGCCTCCTTTGAGAATAAACCTGTTGTGAAAATCCCATAATGAGAAAATACCAGTGACAGGAATGCTTGCTTAGGTATGTGGTGAGTAGTCACCTTTCTAGGTCACTAAATCCAAGTACACCGCACACTGCCTAGCAAAAGAATTCAGAACATCTTCAACTAATAACCTCTATGTGTTTTGTTCAGACTTTGTGTGATAGATTAACACAAATTAGCACAAAATTGTGCAGTGGAAGGGAAATTAAACATGGCTTTCAAATGGCCTAACTTCCATCAGGGCTGCAAAAATAACAGAAAATGTCTCTGAACACAGCAGTTGAAGTCTAATTTCTGAAATCTTGGCTTGAAAATATTTTTGGATAAATTAGTGCTGACCTGCATGAATTAAAAACATTGAAGCAGGAACAGTTTTTGTTTTTCCTTTATCCTCACTATGCCACCCTCTGCCCTTTTGCTGTTCTACCCTTTAATTTTTGACAGAATTTAGAAGAACAAGACCTTTTAAACGACCAGGAAAATAAATGTGGTTTGACATAAAATGTCTCACAAATTGAAGCTCTATTTGTGCTTTAAGCTTTCTAGAAACCTGAGCTTGTTTTCTGTTCAACACATGGAGAAAATGTTGAAATTTGCCACTTTATATCTGTATTCCATATTTACACTTTTTTACGTCTATCTCAATATCTACATATGTTTTATAGCTTGGCACAATGATTTATACTGTAAAGCTGTTTTTTTGTTGTTGTTTTTTTTGTCGGGTAAATTAAAGTTGTGTTGTTTTATTTTCTGACCTTGTTTTACATGATACTTGAATAAAGTTTCTTTTTTTCCATCTAAAACTAAATCTTTAATCCAGAAACAAAACTGATATCCTGTACCACTAATTGAATTGTGTGTTTACAATCGAGTTAAGTGTCTCAAATGCGTATCTTTTGGTCTCTACTGTTTTTGTTAAATGTTTGTAGCTGTGATTATTTTTTGTGAAAATGAGGCCAATACTGCTTTGTATTTTTCACAATATCTTGTAATGGTTTTCACCAAATACATCAAAGAGAAGTTGATTGCAGCGTATAAAGACAGTTGAAGAAAACGCATACATTGTGACTTGTACTCAAATTTAGTAGGTCTTAACACACAAGGAAAAATACTCCAGATTGGGATCTGAAGGACTGATGAATATCAGCATTCACAAACTTAAGAACAGCCATAATGGTACTAATAAAACACTACAATTTATGGAAAAGAACATGCAGGTATAAATGTCCGCAAATATTGTGAAAATCTAAACAAAGAACCAGCTTTGTTTAGACTGCTTTTGGACATGTTATTTTTCAAATCATTTAAAAAATGTACTGGGGACGAAATTATTGATCATTTCTGTTGATCATATCTACACTGAAAAGCGCATAATTATGAAATAAAACTAAATATGTTGCTAAATGTATTCACCATTAAAACTCTTACTTCATTGTGAGAAGCATTGATAGTGTGGATAATAATTAAACCAACTCCTCTATAAAATCTTAAGTATTATTGTGATTCCACCACTCAGGCTTTCATCTCCATCAGTTCTTAATGTAACAAAATGACTCCCATTAAACCTACATTTGCTGGTGAATAAATAGTTTTTCCCCCCACTTTCAATCACAACATCCAATATAAGAGCCCTGGAGGCATATAGGCAGTCAATATTAATATACTCAGTTCCACTGAATCAGTGACAAAGGGGGAGTTAGACTCGTAATGTAATCAATGACTGTTTTTTCTGCCTTAAAGGAGGTCAAGAAGACATGGAACAAACTGCAACTATAAACATTTTGAGACCGAATTGTAAAACTAAAGCAATTTCTTGGAATTATTAAAACTGATGTTAATCATTATCCATGTGAAATATCTGTCAAACTCAGACAAAGCATCTCTGCAGTCACATCTTTGTGTGGAACACAGCACATTCCTCAGGAAAAAAAAATATTAAAAAGTCCTAACTAAATGGAGACGTTTTCATTCTTCCTTTAAGTTTAATGGCAAACCACATCAGTGTTAGTGCAACCAAAAAGACTGAAGGAGAAGTTTATTGAGATCTGCATAGATTTATGGGGTGGTAATAGCCTTGCATGTGACGTCTTGGCCCAGATGGATTGGAGTGTGAGACACAAGACGTCACACACTCCATCAAACCACTGCTAGTTTGACTAATGCAGTTTAGAGCAATGCAAAAACGTCAATGAAATACATTTGGAGCAAGGGAAACAAAGGTGAAACAGTTATCTGCTAGTACTACCTTGTATCAGTACTAATCTTATCAAGTAGTTTGTTTTGATGTTTATTGTCTTAAATATTTACACTGCTAAAATGTCATTTAGTGAATGAGTATCTGTTTTTATAAAATAAAAAAATACAAAATGTAACCTTGTATTTTGCTGTGCACATGTTCTTATAGGGCAAACCACACACATTTTCAAGAAGCTCCAAGTTACACAGAAGAGATCCAAAAACAATTAAGTTGACAAGGTGTTTCCTATTAATTCAGTGTTTGCTGTACATCAATGAGACAAAAAATATGCGTACAGTGTTCCCAGGTTATTCAGCTTTGTTAGCATAACTGTAATAAGAAGCATTACCTGTGCATGACTTGTGGTGAAAAAACAAAAAACCCTTTTATTTGTCAAATCAAAACTTGTTTTTGGCAAGCAAAGATATTTACAGAAAACAACAGCGCACACTTCTGACTGATGGGGCCTGCAGAGTTCTGGGAAGTGACGTCACTCATGAGGCTAAAACGATGAGCATAAATTTGTCTTTAGAGATTCTTCTTCTATCTTTCTGTCCAAAACAAACAGTGAATTCCCCTCATTGCTAAAAGCCATCATGCTTTGCATAAATTAAGAGCTGGACCTCTGGGCCTCCTTCCCTACATGTAAACAGTTGGTCTCTTGTTAAGCAGATCCAGAAACATCAACTTTTAAACCTTAAAGATATTTCATCTTTCAAAAGTTGGGGGGATGACCAAAAGAAATGATCACTAATTAAATGCATTAGCATATTTAGCCTTTTTGTTATCTCCGTTGCTATAGATGGCAAATATGCTTGATCGGATGTTTACAACTTCAGTGTTCGAGAGCCATTGTCCAGCAATCTCAATAAAATGAAATGAAATGAATGAAGGATCTATACATAGCTCTGTATATACAATTAGCCTTCAAAACAAACTCGTTTCCATTATCAATCCTACAACACCACCTCAAGAAATAAGGTGGCTAAAGCTGAATGTCTCAAACCTCATAAACATAACAAGTTAATTATTGTAGATTTAACATGTAGAAAGGCTTGTTATTTTTATTGTTATCTTACACAAAGCACGATAGTGAACTGTGACCTCTGTTTAATAAAACTAAATAATTTAAGAAACATGATTTCGTCAAAATATTTTATATGACTTGATACTTCCAAGTAAAACAAGGTAATCTTTTAGTGAGTGTAGCCACAAGAAAATGTATACTTCAGCACTATGCTAGCTCTGATAATGCATTGGGCCAAAGAAACATGGAAGCTTTACATAAGGAGGAGCCCAAACTGTTGTTTCTGAAATGCTACTTACTGGTGATTATAAATACTGTACACCGTCAGCATGGCCTGAGTGGTTCCTTGGTCAGATGAATGTCACTTCTTACTTAATAGTCACATAAACATCTCTAAAGTTAAATTTTGCATCAATGACAACAGAAATGCTCAAACGAGGAGATCTATATGACTTTTACAAGGAGAATGCATGATTGGGATTTCATATGAAATGAAAGCAAACATTTATAACATAGCAAAAGCATGTCAGTGGCACTTTAGTGCTTTTAATGCTGTCATATTCACCATCTGTTGATAAGTTCAGTACAGGCTCTGTTAGCTCTCTGCAGAAAATAAAAAGCACCTTGATCCTTTTCCCTGCACTGATCATAGTTGGGAGACAATGAAAACAACTGCATTAGACAGTTCCACACTTACTTTCATCGGAGTTCATTTCTTGTGTAACACCTGACCCACTGAAATGCATCAACAGAACTAAGCAAAGTATGATCAAACTTTGACTGGCTTCACATCCAATTAGGATCAGTACTGGTGTTGCTCTCCAAGGCAACTGGAAATGAGTGTGGCTGTTGGTGAGTGAACGTGAAGAGTGTCTCCTTTTGTTTGCTTACATCCAAGCCACCTCCCAAATAGAAGCATATTGCATTTTATATTTCAAAACAAATTACATTACTGTATGTTGCTATGGTGCTCTGTCAGGGCAAGTCACAGTCATTTTTGCTTCCGTTGTCAGAAGCAGCACAGCATGGAGCTCCAGTCTAATGCAATAAAGTTGCTCCAAATCAAGATAAAGCAGATGTGCTCACAAGCAGCCTGCCTGGAATGAAAATGAGAACGAATAAGAATCTGTTGTGGCAATAAAGTGCAGAAAGGGCGATTTGTGGCAGCCAAGTTTCCTTTCAGGTAGCTCAAATTTAAAAATACAATTTGGGTGAAAATGTGGACTTTAGTGCCCTGGCTCAGGGATACAGCTATGCCGAACGTCTGAGCTTTTAAAAGAATATATTTTCAAGTTCTTTCTTAAAATTATATGTATACCTTAAACTGTGAGGGTGAGAAAAAACAGAATTAAATGACATCTGCTTCTTTCTGCTTTCTTTTGCAATTAAATCTTCATCGCATCATTTAACAACTATGAGGAAACTTCTCTTCATCTATCTTAGACTTGTCACTCCATCAAGAAATAATCATTAGAATCAAATGACACACTTCGCTGCATAAATATTTCTGACATACAAATATGCAGAAGTTTGGCCCTGAGGCACAGCGATGAAATGTTCAATAACACTGCTTACAGCTCACTGAATGCCCAACCAGCAGGTAATTGTGGGTGTGTACAGGTTTGGGAGGATATCATTGACAGAGGCAAACCTGGAGCATTTTAAACAATGGTGTCCGCCCAGGGACAATCAGTCACAAATGAGAAGCACCTTTCAGGTATGAGTAATCTGTGGGAAAGTGTGCAATGTGCAATTCTAGCGTGAGATTTTATTGTAAACGTGAAGTGTTATAAAGAGTCAGTAGAAGACAAAAATGAAGACACTTGCTTATTTCTTCAGCATCTATGTTCTGACTGCAAAGTTCTTATTTTAAAGTATAAAAACTGTAATTCCAGAACAAGTAGATGACAAGCAACATGTTTTGTGTATCAGCATCAGACTTTTAATATAAAGATATCTTTGCCCAGATTTCCATCTGCCTGCTGATTAAATACTACTCCAGTAATTAACCAGCTGACATCAACTCAGGGCTTCGACAAGAAGCAGAATGGCTGAAATAAGTGCTCCAAACTCTCATGTTTGAAAGTCAGCTTCCAGCCATTTTTCAAAGTCTATTTGCTTCAGTGATGATGTCATTAGCAGAACTAACAGTATTTAAGCATTTCATTCAGGTGTGTTGAGGACTTCTACAAATGTAAGACAGGTATCAGTGTTTTAGACCCCTGAACTAAAGTATCACATCAAAATTTGACATAAGGATTTAAAATAATACTACTAGACTTAGTGATACAAGTATGGGAGATCTTGATCAACTGGGGAGCAAGAATGCTACATTTGTTACATCTTCAGCTGGTGCTGTATGTTTTCACACTGCACTGTGTTAAATGAACCACACACTCTCCTGTGATGGAGTTGCATCAAGAACCAGTGAAGGAAACAGTGAAAACTTCTGAAGAAAAAAAGAGCGCAACTTCCTTCTTCACAAAAATTGACTGAAAATCCAATTTTAGTGATTTTGGGATTTCCTTTCTGTCTTTGGAAACAGGTTTTGTTTTGGTTGTATTTAATCAGAATGCCCTGCAGCATGGCCTGCTTTCTACTTTAGTTGTGGTCTCTGGTCCACTTAGCATTCACATATGCATTGAAACTTCACCAGAGTTTACGTCATCCAAACCATGACCTAGATTTTTAGGCGGACCAAAGTTCACTATTGTGGTCCACATCAGAGTTCAAACAATTGGACTTTCTAAGCAAATGAACTCGTTCGACTAAAGTGGATTAAACATAGCGATGTTTAACACAGACATCACCTTCTTAAAGTAAAAGCACATGCACTGGAAATCTATCTGAAGAAGACACTCAGTCTAACTATACAATGAACAGGTCTCCAGAGACAGCACCACTACTGCTAATCCATAATGGAACAAAAGAGCAGACCAAGAAGAGAGGACACGAGCGGAGGCCTCTGTCCTCCTCTGCAACAGTATCAGTGAACTTTTGGAGGAATAAGCCCCAGGGTTCCAAGGACAACTGTCAGGAGACATGGTCTGTGAACTCATGCTAATGAAGGCAGCTCAGGCCTGTAAACAGCATGGGAGGATGTCACTGGAATACATTACAATAAATAACTGTCTCCCCAGGGCAGCTGGGTTGCATGTGGCTCAGCTCTGCTCAACCACCCTCAAACACACATCCATATACACACACATGCGGCGGCGTTCTCAGTCCACCTGGGACACCCAACAGGTAAAGATGAAAGTTGCTGAGTTGACCACAGCAAGCTAAGAACCCTGCTGTAGCTCAAAATGTTCTGGGTTGATGAAATTGAGATTGTTAAATTTATCAACTTTTTAGTTGCTTCTCTTTTTTTGAAGTTGATGACTGTTGAATGAAAACCTAATAACCTAAGTGATGCAAACTGTAAAGAAGTGAGACTGTAAAACTTGGCTCCAAGCTAGAACAGTGGTGCTTCAAGGGAAACGAGAGGGGATACGGCAGCACTGAAGTGAGTGAGAGCGCTCAGACAGGAATGCGACTGTTTTCAGGTCAGTGAGCAGCAGCGTGCAAGAGCGAGATATAGAGACAGAAAGGGGGTAGAAAACCAGTAAACCGGGCCATGGTTCTTGGTAGAGTGATCTGCTGCCTTCTCCCCTTCAGTTACAGAAAACGTTGAAATTTATTTATCAGGGCTGCAGGGCATCAGTCATATTGTGTCTGGGCTCCTGTAACTGGATAGCATTAGTAAGGATCCTGTTATTACACAGATTTATGCGCTTTGTAATTGTCAGCGTTCACTGCAACACATCCTTCTATTTATCCATCAATAATGTATCTATCCTCCTGCTTTCTCAAGTGAGAGTTAACACCAAACTTATCCTCAGAAGAGCTATCTGAGGCGATTTACGTTTGGGAAGGGATTTAAATGTCTCAGCTTAATATACACCAGACTTTGCTACGTGCAGAAAATTGTCTGCAATAGAAGAAATTCAAAATGACTGCCAAAGTCAAAGAGCAGCACTTTTTTAAATAATTAATTTGGGCAAAGTCTAAAATTTAACTATTCGGACAAGAGGAAACTGTCATGGCTGGCATACGACAAATACAGCTGTCTGGAAACATAAATCATAATATCTGTGTAGCACTGAGGCAAAAGAGTAATAATTTGGAGATACTTTGTTTCTGCAGGACTCAGTCAACTCACCATCACTATTAGACCCATAATATACAGCTAAAGTGGATTTTACTAGAGTGCTGTTGCAGTATATTTATCTTTCACGTTCATGCAGTTATTAAATGTTAATAGTCGTTTTTTACAAGTTAGAAAAATTGCAAAACTGTACCCTTTTTACAGAAGTGTTCTTTTGTCTAAGTGCAGCTTTTTCTTTAGCATCTGAAAAATTATGATAGTCACCATGTTCGTGTACTGAAAATAACTGAGATATAGTTATTAGTGCCACATCCAATTCCTGTTTAAATGGTCATAAAATGTAGACATTAAATATTCCTTTTTGTTAAGATTTTTATAGGCCTCTTCTTCTAACACCCAAGTTTAGAAAGTGAAGTGGTCTTCTGACACATAGACCATAATATTTTTTGCAATTTAAATCTAAATAAGCATATCCCCAATCAACAAGGCATTTTCATGCCTTGTACCTTTTATGTAAAAGATTTTAAGTTGCATGGCCAAAAGGTCCTCATACCTTGGAGAGATCTCTGAAGTTCCCTGGAAGGGTCAAGTCCAGCTCCTCTGAGTCATAGTTGGTGAGAACCCAGGGGAAGACTGGGTACTGGTTCAGGTCATTATATGTCCTCCCTAGGCACAGTTGGCAGACAAAAATCTGTGAGTGATGACAGACTGAAAGAAAAACAAAGGGTGGAGTGTAGGGTATATGTGGGGCTTTGTGTGGAAAAGTATGCAACACCACCCTGATCTCAGCTCTTTATTAAACGGATTTCCTTCCGTTCTTCTATAACGTATCCGTACCTCTTGAACATGTTCACATAAGCACATAAGTGGATGCTAACGTGATTTTCAAAATGTTTATCTAATAAAAAATCTCACAGATTTAGTGTGTATTATTTTATCATTTCCTTTGACTCTCCTATGCAAATCCAGGACTACAAACTGAGTTCAGAAATCCCCTGATTTAAAAAATATAATCTGACTCTGGGTAATATTATTTTAGTGTAAATACAGCTGTTCTGTGACATTGCCTCAAAACTTTAATAATGATTAGCAAACAAACAGCAACATGAAGACAATGGATCACACACAGTTCAGGGGTCATGTGGAGAAAAAGTGTGTGCAAATTTTGATTAGAAAATAATATCCTAAGCAGAATTTATGTTCAATTCAGTTCACTGTTCAATTCATCAACCTAAGACTAAGACATCCTAAGTCTTTTTTTTTTCATCTATTTTATAACTTTATAAAACTTTGTGTTGGTCTGTCACATAGGATTTCAAGATTATGCTATGGACATTTTGTCTGCAATGTAAGAAAATGTGAAAAGGTTGAAGTGGTGTTGCAAGGCACTGTAAACCATAAAATGTGAGAATGTTTTCTTTGTTTCCCATGACAGGAGCTGCTGAGTGTGAGTTGTCAATAAAAGGTTAAAGTCACATGACGCCTGTCTGCAAGTTGAGCAGTTGTAATTGCAGAGCTACAGAATCTAGCTACTAAATATCTTTGATGTCATTTCAGTGTTGAATGGCTGATTTGCTGGATGTCAGCTTCCTTTATGTTCAATAAAAGGAGAAAATATTTTCAGAGGGAAAACATGTGTCAAGAACTCATGGGGAAAATTAACAGTAAATTCAGCATTGTCAGTCCTGCTTTAGGTTGAAATAAATTTTAGATTAAAAAAAGAGAAAAGAAGCAGGCAGTAGAAATAGAAAACAGTGGCTGTGACTCAGTGGGGAAGATTAGTCGTCTGATAACTAGAAAGGTTTAGGCTGATTCCAGCTTTTCCTTTTTCAGATGCCTACCAACTGGTAGTGTGAACAGGTAAATGCTTCTTGAATTAGCAAAATAACTTTTTCTAGACTGAGAAGCTGAAACAACATGAAATCAGGGCAACCATCTCAAAGGTTTTCTATTTTTGTGAACTATTGCTTTGACTGCTTGTAAATGTTTTCCTGCCAAAATACATAAACTTTGTGAATAAGATGTTTACTAGAATCAGCATCACATAGTAGATTATTTGTTTAAATAAACAAATGAATGTGATTTGATCCTCAACATCACTGACTGCGTGTGACCTCAACCATAACAGCTTCTATGTCTTAACATTCTTCTTATGAATGGATGCATCAAATCAAAAAAAATTTCAAAAATTGTTTTAGCATTCTAAAAACTGTTCGCAACTTATTGTTGGTGCTGATCACATACAATTCAGGAATTCTAAGTACCAGAGACTGACGGCCACATTTAGCACTATTAGTCCCCTCACAAAATTAATCTGTGAGCTTTTGTGCTGGACTTACATATTTCTAATAATCAAACAAATGTTTAAATCAGGCTGAAGACAACATTAAGAGACAGACTCTTTCCAAGCCAATCAAGTCCTATGTCCTATAAAGTCCTATAAAAATACAACTACTTCTATAATAATTCATAAATTAACTATATGTAGCCAAATATGTATATTTCTTACAGATTGTCTCAACTATTTTAAAATGATCTCCCTGTCTCTAAGGGACACCCGATTCTTTTTCATAAACTGCATGTGAAAAATAAATCATAATTAGGGGGTTATATATACATTTCTTTTTTGTGAATAATAAGAATGTATTTAATGGAAAAAGATTGAGCAGAAAATCAGATAAAACAGCCAATGTAAAAAAAAAAAAAATCAAATATAATTAGATTTTTATTGTCCTACTCTTGTCCTCAAAATCAATACATTTGTGTACATTCGACAAAATCTTAACATTAATGCATAATTTATATTTATGATTCAAAGTTAGAATGAATTCTTTGACCATTTTCAACATGTCTTCATTAAAAAGATGTCCCTGCAAACGTTCAAAGACTTTAATGATAAGCACAAAGTATTTTAAAACTTTGTAGAGAGGCTGTGTTTTTGCAGCAAGTTCGCGAGAGATTCTAAATGTGCCAAAGCGATCCAAGTTCCTGACAGGCTAGTCACTGGGAATGTTTCTTCAGAGGAGCTAGAAAGGTTTGGGGGAAGCTAGAGAGCATAATTATCAAGGTTAATGGCACACACTGGAAAAGAAACAGCAGGCTGAGCACAGAGGATGGGGTCGGGTGTTGGTATGGTGAGACCTAGTGGTGCTGAGTCCTGAGTTAGGGTGGCAGGATGTTAATAACAGTGGAATAGTGTTTAATTAGAAGAAGTCTTCCTGTTCACGCCTCTTCCCAGCACTTCACCCTCCACCTGTCTCCCGCTCCACACTATTCTGACATATCTGGCAGCTTAGGTCATTACTAGGGATTTTTAATGAATTTTGGGCATGTTTTTGTGTCTGCCTTACATCTAATTAGCTGACAATAATGTATCGACTCTCGAGCACAAGCTAAATATAAATATGCATGAATATGCAGCGACAGAGAGGATGACACCTCTCTGAGCAGAGTAGCGTGCAGTTGTTCTTGCCTTCCCTGTTAGTCTCAGTTCAGATCAGAGAGTCGACAACAGAACCTTTCAACTCTGCAGACACTCGGGTACACTTTCACAAAACCAGGCACTAATTATCCGGCAAAATTCACTGCGCCTGCTTTTGCTTCAAACGGCAGATACTCATGAACAGTGAAGTTTACTGTGTTGAGTCTATAGCCACCATGGATTTTTAAACAAATACGACATACCTGAGCCCACTTAGTGTTAGTGCTTCCAACACCACTGACACATAAAATGTATTGATCCTGCTCGCTAACTATAAAGACTTGCTGTGGAAAGATTCACACAAATAATAAATTAAAACCTAAAACTATCACAGGTCATTAAGTTTGCCTGGACAAGGAAGAAAACAAATCAGAACCTATAAATGTAACTGACGGCTCCAAAAAAACAAAATACAAAACAGATTTATTATTGCCTCCAGCTACTTTACAGTTTCAAATAAATCTCACTTGGAAAACAGGAAAGTGCTTTCATTAAAACTTTACCAGCTATGGTGTTGAGAAACGTCAGATATTCAAAGTTGGAGATTTCTCTCCTCTGCCAGCGCTGGGTCATGTTTGAGGATTTGAAAAGCTGCCGAGGGGTTGCCAGGGAGATCCGTCTAAAAACAATTAAAACAGAATTGGCGACAACATACTGTATATCCCTTTTTTTTTTTTTTTACATAGTTTTTAAAACTGTCACCATGTTTTGACAATAATAATATCTGTATTACATGAGACAAATATTCTGAAAAAAATCTAGCCTTCTCCCTGCAGTCCTACTGCCATGTGCAGGAATGCAGTTATTTTAGTCAGAAACAACCAATCAGAGTCAGGAGCACAGTTGCTGTATTGATGGGAGAGAAACATCTTACTGTTACAGAAAAACTGTTTATTTGCCATCATTGGTGGTATGCTAACTGGCATACATATGAATTTATGGTAAGTTTTGTTTTGGGGTGCTTAGTGCAGAAGAGACCAAGAGGGACTGTGTGGGATGGATATACACAAGCTAAACTGACTGCACTGAAACCCTCCTGGCTCTGATCGTTTTTTTCTGGCCGAAAGCGGTGCATTTCTGCAGGTTGCAGTAGGATCATAAGGAGAAATCAGAGGAGGACAATTTATTCAACAATTATCTGTCTCATGCTCTACTGTCACAATATGGTGACAGTTTGAACAAATATGTAGTAAAAAATAAAAAAACATCCTTTTTAAAAGTTGCATTCTGAAGCTTTTAGTAAATGAGTCAGCCACACCCTGAGTATGACTTTTGTGTTTCATGTCCACAAATTGTGAAACTGACGACAATGAACCCACAATGCCAAAAAATGAATGCAGAGTTGCATGGTCTGTAATCCATGGCATTAAGAGAAAGCAAAATATTAATTCAGATTCTGCAATGATGTCAGTTGTATTATATCCTCTGAACATGGGGCTGTTTGTTTTACAGCAGGAATTTAAAGAGCCTGTTAGCACCATGAAAGCTGAAAGCCTAAACAGAATCTGTTTCTTTTTTTTCCCTCTGTGGCCATTGGCATGGCTACATTGAGTTTTCAGTTGGAGAATTAGGTCAGTTCAGTCAGGGTCAGTGAACATCCACTTCAGTGTCTGGAGCAAAGGGACTTCAATTTAATTCAGTTGTTCCTGGCTGAATGCATACACCTCGATATCACAAAATAGCAAAAATACTATTCACTACAGATATGAATTATTATGCTAACAAGCTTTTGTTTAATTTTACTTGACATCTCTTATCCTACCTCGCTTGTGGAAGTCCATAGCTAGTGCCCACTCCTACTCGAGGGAGACAATAGACAACCTTTTTTACTGTGGCTTGGTCCGGAAAGTTGAACATGACAGACGCTGCAAGCATAAAAATACGTAATTACTGTTCAATAATTTTCGGGGGAAAAAGTAAATTGTTTATTTGGTACTTTCCTTACTTCTATTAGCCATGAAAACCTCCATTGCAGTATTCTGCAGAAGGTAGTGCCTGGAAAAGACTGCCCGAATCTCACTGAACATCCATTTGCCATGCAAACCATCTGTGTACACCAAGACCTGGGAGATGAAAGTAGAAGTTATTTATTTGAAAAAATGTGCAGAAGGTACATGTCAGACTGTTGACAGTTTTCCCAATATTACAAATTAAGTGTTTACATTGTGCATTAAACACAAATAAAAATAGTGTTTGCAAAGTCATTGTTTTTTTCAGTGAAGGTATGCAAGTACATTTAATTAACAAATAAGGTGACACACTCCCCTTTTCCTGCCTCATTTATTCCACTATTTTTCTGCACCAATGTGTTGTTTTAGAAACAATCACTCTCCAGACAACTGAACTATGACTGGTTCAAAGTGACAGAACATCAACAGTAGCTTAAATAAGCACCTATTACAAACAGTGCATCTGGAATACAAACTCTGACCCAACAAATTGCACAACAACAGACTGGTGAATATTGCCTGATCTTATCAGTCTCAATTTTCTTCTTTTTGACCATAGAGTATTCATATTCTGATTGTTACTTGCATAGAATAATGCATAATGTTCTAAATCTCAGACCACATCAAACCATTTTCTTGAACATGACAATGAGATAGCTTACTCCACTGACCTTTAGAGTTTTTTAATCCAATTGAGCACCTTTGCTAACATGTTGACACAAGTCAAGAAGGCAGATCAGGAGGGAAAAGTGGATCCAATAGAGTAGCAAAAATTAAACAAATCATGAGATTTCGTCTTCTCGGGGTACTGCAACACATAACTAGATCTAAAAGCTCTTCGACACATGCATTCACCTAAATGTAAGTGTAATACAGACTGGGATAAACAGAACAGCTCTAGTTCATTCGATTCTTATTTCAACTTGTGAAAAATATTTACAGAGACAACATAACATAACTCTAGGCAAGTTTTAACAAAAAATGCAGCTGTCAACAGATTCTCTTTCACACTTAGCTGTTGGTGTACAAAATTCAAAAAGAAGTAGTCACCAAAACAGCCCCATGGGTTAGTGACACATACATAATCAATAAAAACCATAACATGTTGAAAAAGAAAGAGCAGACAAAGAATCATTAGTGTATGCAGCACCAAAGGACAAATCGGTCCACACACAGACACACGACTCAAGTCAGATATTCTGACAGGTGAAAATGATTCCCTCACACACACCTTTCCACCTTCCCTCCATCTCACTGAACAATTCTGTACAACGGGATGAGCTGTGGAGAAGCTTCATCGGCTTCCTGGGTTAAATCACACATCGGTGCACTTCACAGACAATGAATGTGTGGAAGAATAAAGATGTGTCTGCACCACATTAGTGACTGTGTGGTGCAGACACACAGGCATGCGTGGGTGTGCGTGTGTGAGCGTGTGTGAGGTGGTGTGACTAAGGTGGAGTGGGCAGGGGAAGGAAATAAGTAACCAAGATGGTGCGCTGGGTTAGGTCTGATGCTAATGCTCATTTAAAATAGTGACAGACTGGAAGAGTGCAGCACAAGCTGGGCTGCCTTAATTTCTCCGTGGAATAGCTCATGCCCGACCTCCGTGCCACAGCCAAAATCTCTTGAGCTCAATTAAAATTGGATTAGGTGGAGATACTGAATGTACAGCACAGCATCTCTGGTGCTCTTCTACTAGCAATGCCCCTGCTTGACACCTCTGCAACCCCCTACTCAAACAGTTGTCATAGAGACAGCAGAGCCCTGAGGAGGCAGCAAGCAGAGTGGAGGAGAAACAGAGAGAGGGAGGTGATGCTGGGATGGCTACAGAGCTGCAGGCATTTTGTTGAGGGCCAGCAGCCACTTTCGTAGGGAAGGCAGCTTTTCTTTTTTCCACGTTTCATCTGCAGCCAGATGTTCTGCAGTCCTGAACACAATGCTTTACAGCAAAGCACACAGATGTGCGATCAGTAGAAGGCCACAATTTACTCACTCAAGACGCATCAAGCTGTTTGGAGACTGAATCATTTGTTGATGTCCGTAGTCTAGTCTTTATTTTGGTCTATTGTACCCTTCAATGCATTTCTACAGGATAACAATAGAGAGGCACAGTCAGACCCTACTTTAAATGTCTTTACAGCCAAAATAAGGCAAATGAATTGATCAAGCACTAACCTGACTGGTACTTCTACAAAATTTTCTTTGCACACTACTAATGTGAACAGTTTGATGCTGTGACAAAGCACAGGGCAAAAGGCTAGCTGTCAAAGAAGAGAGGCTAAAGAGGAGAAAAAAAAAGCTTATTGCAAACTGCCCAGATCAAAAAAAAAAAATGTCATAACAACAAAGCTTTGGTCTAAACTAACACGCACAGGCCTTTGTAGACTTGGGGATTTGACAAAGCCCAGCCCTCATTTTTAGAGGCCCAGCTGTAAAAAATGCCATTTAATGAACCTGTCTGCTGAAGCTGTCCCCTGCCTGTCAGAGGTGTCAGGCAGTGACAAGCGCTGGGGACGGCCGCCTCCAGTCACAGACAGGCCTGCCAGCTGGAGACTTCGGCCCCAATCTAATCACACCACCAGGAAGGGACCGGCGCTCTGCTCTTGGTCTGTCACGCTCAGTGCTGGGGGAGCAGGAAGAGGGTGGGTGAAGGGAGTCTGGTGTGGTCGACAAGCGCAGCCTTTTGTTTCCACACGGGTCCCTCAATGCAAGCTCATTAGAGGACACGAGCGCATGCGCCACTCCACCAGCTGCAAGAGGATACACCTCCATTATAACAGCCTTAAAGCAATTTAACATCTCAGTTCTCTCTTTTCGTTATTTTGCTTTTCTTACATCGATGATTTGACATACTGGCTCCATTTCAGAACTTTCCGTAAGAGAAGTAAAGAATATTGTGACAGATGAGATGAGGGCAAGCGTATTGTGACAGTGGTGCTTAGGTTTAAACTCATATATAATAACGTGCAGATGCTCAAATGGGGGACAATATGCTTATAAGCAGCAGGGTACCACTTCATGCATGGAAATAGATTCTAATCATATTTGACTTCTGAATAGCTTTTACCTCCACATTGACTGAGACACAGTGACAGATGTTATTAATAAATCTAACGAAGCAGTCTCCCTAAAACCTGATGCAATTTTCTTCCATATGGAAAGATGCAATCCCCCCCCCCTTCAGTGCATTTATACCAAAATAGGACAATAATATAATTCAGTGAGACCTCCAAGTCAGCATGACTGATATGTTTATATAAGAGTGTGGGGCACACTGACAACCTGGTACCACAGCACCTCTGCAGCATTCTTCTCAGATTTGTCTAATAGGCTTCCACTATAAAGCCTCACACAACTGCACAGTCCCAGGCGGCCATAGAGGAACGGTGGAGTCAAAGAATAAGGGGAGGATACGGGAGGCCCGTTTCATTTTGAATGATATGACTACTCCCTCAGGAGCAAGGGGGATGGATTTCACACATGGCAATTTGGAGGATCAGCACACACCACGTGTACTGTATTCAATGGCTGACCCAGGGCAATATGGGCCAAATCTGTGAAGAGGTTGAGCAATCAGGGAATCCAAAAGGAAAAGGATGAAGCCTGGTAACAAAAAGGGCAGGGAAGAAACCTGAGTTAAGTGGAAGAACATTGAAGCCACAGAGAGTAAGGTGAGAAACAGCACAAATGTAATATCATCTAAAAAGCTTTGACGCTCAATTAAAGGTGTCAGAATAATGTTTTTCTGCATTTAAAAGAAATTTTAAAATTATTATGAGGAAGTGATGTGACACTGAATGTTTGTTTTATTTTTATGTGAATAAGTCATGTACCTTTCATTTTACTCTATTCTTAGTTATTATATTCCTTTACATTTATGTTTAATTTGCTTCGTATTTACCTTATTGTCAAAATAGACCCAACAAGCAGACACAGACTTACATTGTAATTCACTGAACATCTTCTAAGTACCACTATTAGAACTCATAGCACTATTTGAGAAGGATGGAGCTAAATGCTACAATACACCTGTCACACTGTTGTGCACCTTCCATTTTTAAGTCAAGCTGCCACATGTCGAAACGTTATGCTGCACTGCCAAACCATCTCTCACACACAAAGACCTCACCACATCGGCCTCACCACTATGCCCAAAAGGTTTATATTTTAAATTAACCTGGCCAATGCCTTTAGTGCTCTGTCTGGGCTTCCTCCCATTAAGCTGGATTTCTCCAGTTGAATTTTGAATCAGCGGACAGGAGGAGGAGTTGTGAACGACCAACAGTCAGTCTCTGTGCTTACTGAGAATTATACCTTGCCTGTAGTTTGGTAATGGCAGCAGAAAAAATGAACGAAGCTAGTCAATCTGTGTTGGTCATGCTTCCATATATTGAGCTGGTTAAGTCAGAGCCAGAGGAATAAATAAGATATTTTATTGCAACAAAAATGTCACGATTCCTCTCCCCATGAGGTTGTATAAAGTCCAAGCAATTTCTGAAAGCTTCATCGAGCTGATGTGTTACACACATCACGGGAAACATTAGCCACTAGGTGAAATCAGATCAAATTCAACAAAATATACGCCTCCAGCAAACAAGCATTTCTCAATAGCTAAGGATCCAGATTCTCTATAAGAAGCAAAGTGTAGAACAAGGGACTCTTTTGAAGACAAATTACACTGAATGTACCTCTGTTTTCAGAAGGAAAATTAGACAAATAAAAATATTGAAGACAGTGTCCAAAGATTAGGTACTCAACAAACACATGAAAAGCTTTTATGTTAGCAAAGGTTTGAGGAAAGCAACTCTAAATGTTACTGAAAGTAAACTGAATCTTTCTGAGAAACTTAGTGGCAACAAAATGAAACAGTTACTACATAATATTTTGCAAAGAAAGTTTGGTATAGTTTTAATTTAAGGATTATGTTCTTTGAAAAAAAAGTAGGACACAGTGATGTTTTCTTGTTTTGTCAAACAACTCAGGTGTGCCCACGCACTGTGAAATAAAAGTAGTATGTGACTGTTTAAATTCACAAAGCCATGCGGAGAAAAATCTTAACTGTGTGACCAAAGACATGCCCAAATCTGCACTTTTATTTACACTTTAATCCC